CTTTGACTGTCTCTTGAATAAACCTTCAGAGATTGACTAACACACCTGGAACGGCCTTAAGCAGCACGATGTGAAGGCGAGCCTGACAGACACGCCGACACTGGATGGGATGCAGAGAGCACTTGCTCATCTGCGCAACGGCAAGTGTGCCGGTGCCGACGGGATCCCGTCTGAAGTATTGATGCACGGTGGACCCACGTTGGTGACTGCGCTGCACCACTTGGTGCAACGCGTATGGATTGAGGAGGTGCCACCTGAACTGAAGGATGCCCTTGTGCTACCACTATACAAGGGCAAAAGGAACAAGCAATGTTACACGAATGCTAATGGCATCAACTTGCTGAATTGTGTGGGCAAGGTGATTGCCCGAATCCTGCTCAACCGCCTCGTCAGTCAGGTTGTGGAACCTAACGTGGCGGAAGAGCAGTGTGGATTCCGTTCGGGTCGCAGCACTATATGGTGTTTGCGGCTCGTCAGTTGCAGGATAAGTGCAGAGAACGACACCAGCCATTGTACTCGCTTTTTGTTGATTTCACCAAAGCAATTGATACGGTGAACCGCGAGGCATTGTGGCTGTTGTTGCGAAAGTTTGGTTTCCGGCGTAACTTTGTAAGCCTGATTGAATGTCTGCACAGTGGTATGCGAGCGAGGGTGCAGCTGAGTGGAGAGACCTCGGATGACTTTGCAGTTGTCTCTTGTGTGAAGCAAGGCTGTGTCTAGCTCCTGTCCTGTTTAATATATATCTTCTTATCATGATATATTGTGCTTTTGTTGCGGCTTGTGCTTACGGTGTTCGTGTGTAGCACCGTATTGATGGTGGGTTGCTGAACATCCGTCGTTTGGGTGCGAGAACCCTAGTCTGTGAGGCAACTACCCGTATGTTGCTGTTTGCTGACGACTGTGCGATGTTTGCCACAGCGCGGATGAGTTGCAGCACATGACGCGTGCTCTGGCTTCGACAGCGGCAAAATTCGGGCTCACCATCAACACAAACAAAACTGTCTGTCTCTTACAGCCTTCACCGGAGGTGCAATCTTCAATATTGTCGCGAATCAGCATTGGTGCTGAAGTATTGGAAACCACCTCCTGCTTCAGCTACCTTGGGAGTGTGATGTCGACTGATCAGCAGCTACACCGTGAGCTGCGTATCCGAGTCTCGAAGGCAGCGGCGGCATTCAGGAACCTTGAGTACCGAGTGTGGAACAGTCATCAGCTTAGCATTGGCACGAAGCTGATGGTGTACAAATCCATGGTGCTATCCGTTCTTCTATACGGCAGTGAAACGTGGTCGATGTACCGTCGGGATGTGCAATTTCTCGAGCGGTTCCATCAGCAATGTTTGCTGCGGATTATACGCATCGGATGGGGCGACAGTTGCGGGCACGGAAGTGTTTCGTCGAAGTGGAAGATATGCAGTGGACGGCATACTTTTGCTGAGACACCTGAGTGACTCGGTCATGTGAGCCGTATGGATTCGACGCGGATACCGAAACAACTATTATATGGTCAGCTGAGTATTGGGAAGCGGCATGTGGGGAAACCAAGGTTACTTTACCAGGACATGATCAAAGTGAGCCTTTCACTTTCAAATCTTGATTGCAGGTCATGGGAATCGAAGGCAGTTGATCGGCGTGCATGTCGCGATCTAATCACGACGACAGTTGCCGAAGTGCGGGAGAAAGACCTCATGCATGTAGAAAAGAAGCGGCAAGCGCCAATAGGTTGTACTCCATCGACATCGAGTGCACGGTGCTGTAACACGTGCGGTCGCGAGTGCCTGAGTCAGGCAGGCCTAGTAAGCCATGAGCTAGGACCACCACCGAAGGGACGACGGGTCCTGCAGAGAACTTAGACAGAGTCGATGCATCGTTTTTAGGTACGATGCACTCGATTTACTAACCGCCTGCTTGCACGCGAACTCTCTTTATTTCAGGTAGTGGGTTTTTTATTTTGTCCTCATGCTTTTCTTTTTCAAATAAATGTCTACTTGAACCATATTTTATTGACTTGCACCCTTGGATGAAGCTAATTGCAGTTAACTTCGACAACATTTTCGCGTTTGTGGCATTCTCCTAAAATATATTTTCTTACGTCTTGAACTTATCGAAGATTTTGTTTGGAATCAATTTATTGCATACGCCCATTTAGTGAAGAGTTATGTCACTGTATCTGTATGCATTATTGGATTTGCTTTATTTCATCTTGTCGTTTCAAGTGATTGGCTGTTGCTTGAAATCCCCGGTGTGGCTGCGCTTGATGGTGCCTACCTGTCTATTACGCACTACCTCGTCCATACTGGCTCTAGAAGACAGTTGGTCGTTGCTGGAGGGGACGGGGTGCACGGTCCTTGTGGCCGTATTAGGATCAAAGAGTGGTTCTCTGCACTCAGTGTGGAGCGGACTACGGTTCATCGACCGCCTTGTGTGCGCTTGATGTCCCAACTACAGCTTGCTTGTGTTTGCCTGTGTAGGAGTGTGGGCCGGCTCCGTTGATGAAACGTGGCTCCCATTCACACAAGAAAACAAACAAGCTATTTGTCCATTTTTCCACTCGCAGTTTTTGATGTTTTTATTGCGTATGGGAAGGGGATGATCCATCCATGGTTCATCAGTGGGCGAGTTACTATCCGGTTACCCAGGCTGAAGTAGACAGTTGTTTTAGGGGGCCCCATCCCGAGCCTTTGATCCAGAGTCTAACCTAAAAAGCAGCAGGGCGATATGAGGGTATAGCAACCCGTTGAGAGGCGATGACCAAACAAGTGGTTCACACTCCTTTAGGACCGCATGGGACCAGGGGCCCATCACACCCTTGAATTACAATGCCACTCAGAGAGAGGCTAGGGTCCGTGACTTTATTTAGTGGCGCGTCACATCCGCCACGTCACAGTGTTGTTACACGGATATATGTGGCTTTTTATACGGAGAACGCTTGTCAGGCGAAAATCCACCATGTCTTGGAACACTGCCTCCAAACCATTAGCTGGAACGGGATAATCCCGAGCCACCTAGCTGGCACCACGAGGAGGTTGTTCGGCAGGGTCTAAAGAGGGGTTCGCAAGTTGGACTCCACCCGGAACATTTTACTCAATATAATGACCCGCAAGATAGTGGGGAGCAAGTCCAGTTTTGTAGTGTCATTGCAGAAGCGGTATTGAAATCTGCTTAGGCCTGTCGCATACATTCTTTGAATATATACTACCACTCAAACCCGCTGTTTTACGCACCAGCGACCTCGGCCACCTCTAGATGGGAGTTGGTGGGTTTGCACCAATTGGATTGGGCTGCCTGGCTTGGGGCGGGCGGCAGCAAACCATTTAGCACTGGAAGGTGCCTTCCCACCGTCAGAGGCAATGCGGAGCGGTCGTACTCTACGCTAATCGAGGTGTGGGCTTATAGCCTAAAGACCTGTTCTCTCCCTTGGCTAGGTTCTAAGGGAAGAGGCCATCGACCTATTGTTAATTTCCTAAGAGGATTGCATTAGGAGACTGAGTTAGCCTGATACCTAAGCGTTGACCTGTATGGCATGAATGGCTCTGAGGTCACTTGGAATTGCCACCCAGTGTAGCTCAATGGACCATGAGGGTATGCAAACAATTACACCATCTCAACTTTCAGTCTCTCCGCGATGGATTACAGTAAAGATGTCCCATCGCTTTACTCCCGAAATGCAGTAGACACGTTGTTCCTAACTAAAACGCTTGATGGTGCTGAGTGATGCCTCCCTGCTCCCCTATGCGTACAATCGAGCCATGGCGTCTCGTAATTATTTTGACAATGAAGTCAATGGTGGTTGACCACGCTGTGTTGCATGTATTATTGTCCTCATAGACAAATAGATCACAAGTAGTTTCAAGCAGAGTACGTTTTGTTTCTCTATAACTTGCATAATTTATTGATTGTATTGCTATGGTATGTGTGCCTTTGTAACATATCCATCAATCTTGTACACGGTGTGGTATAAACTTGTTGCTTTTGCAAAGGATGTGCGTCACTTTGAGCTATCTTGTGTTATTCTATAGATCGGCGGCTTGGTCATCGCACTTCTCCCTGAATACACCAGTTGACTGACCTTGTCCGACCACCGACAACTTCGTAGTACTCCTCATGTCAAGTTGAGGCGCAGCATACATGATACTTACATAAATAATTTTGAGTTTCTCGAAACATCTTCCTCATCAGATAGTGCTCTGCGTGCCCTGGAAAGCACATTGATGTTTGTTTCATCCTATTGCTGCGCGTCAGTAGTGCGCATCCATCGGTCCCACTGAGATCCGAACCTATGAACGATAGTTTCTTGCACGACTTATCCCCTACTGGCAGTAGTCGCGCTCTATCGCATTTAGCTTGCAAATCATGTAGGTCCACCCCTGTCCTCTATGGTTTGTTAGTATAGGTTGTTGGTTAGTTGTCTTGAATTCGAATCCTGATTGAATCGATGAGTGTGCACTGCTGGCGGTTCACACTGGGACGACACGGCTGTGCAGTGCTTTACCGGACTTGCAGAGGATCATTTGACGTGGAAGTTGTTGCGAAGAATTCCCAATTATTTTCGCAAATTACCTATTCATTAGGATACTGAAAGTGTTTTGATACAAACTGACTGGTACCATGCGGTTCGGTGGCGTGGGAGGACAGTCTTCAGTCAATATTCTCTACTCCACTATTCACTTCTACTATCTCTGCCACTTGATATGTTCAGCAGGCAGGCTTGAAACTGACCGTAGAACGCGGTGTTTTCGGGCGGGCGACACCCATCTGTTTCAGATGCTTTCCCGATGGCTAAACTGGCCTAGACTCACTGTACAGACCAAAATTGCATTTAGCTTCACAGGGGGTTCTTCAACCAATCCAACAATCAGCTGTTTACTCGTTTTTCATCTCTTCCCCCTTTTGCTGTTGCCCCCTGCGACGGTTTCTTGTCTCCCTAACATGTATTATGCGTTGGCATTTCACTTACTTTCTATGCTGCTATTTTTTCTGCCTTTCGGATTTTCTTTGTAGATGAACAACGCGAAGCTTTTACCTGCAAGCACGTGCAAGTCTCGACGGGATGAATCTATCTATGTAATCTCGTTAGATGGTATCGAAGTCGCCCGTGCTTACCCCGGGTCCTCAACTGTGCATATCCTACTGGAGTGAGTTCGTTTTTAGTGGTATCAGCGTGTCCTTCACTACGGCTTAAGAAACACTTCTCGCTCCGCTGCTATGCAAACACTAACTTGATTGTACATTTATCTACGGTGATGCGCCGTACCCATTGATAGGTTTACTGAATAATTTTTTATGTCGGCCTTTTATCCAACTTGGTGACTTGAGCCTGAATAATCCGCTGCTGTTCACTCAGTGCCTCAAAGGACCACTTTCAGAAACTACCACAGACCTTGATGCTAGGCTGCATTCGGCTTATTACAAGATTGTTGTTTTCCTTAATCATGCACTTGTTCTACCGGGCTGTTCGTGTTGGAGATACTCTCTCTCCACCTCCTTTTGTTTGTGTTCTGGGCCACGCATTTCATCGACAATATTAGGATTGTACTTAAAATGCTATTTTTTCCATTTTCGTATACTCTTATTCGCTCACTTGAATGGCTATTGCATGTCGGTGTTTCTGGACCACAGTCTTTTACAGATGCTTGGGAATGCATTCAGCACATTGGATCCGTTTTTTTTATTTTTTCACGTAGGCGACTTCCTATTGGCCATCTGCTGCGCATTACCTCTAGGTGTCTCGTCATCTTTAATAAACTATATTCGCAGTTAAAGTAGTCGTCTCTGCGACAAATACCCCATTGCGAATTCTGAACAAGTGGGACAGTGTTGTACTTTGAAGCATCTACTCACCTTAGCTAATAGCCGTCCGTATTCCAATTTTAGTGCGTGGTTCTCTATCTACAGTGTATCGGTTCACCACCTTTTTGACAATCTTGTACTTCAAACCTGCTATACTCAATTATTCCTGTTGACTCTCAGCCTAGATGAAATTGGAGCAGACGATCCGTTTGCAGTATTTCACTGTTACCTTTGATCGAAACTATCCGCTGTACTCATGACCAATTTTCCCGGTTCCCTGTCACTGCACGGACCATTTTGTTCTGACCTCGTAGACAATCAGCCCGTCCCACTTTCTTTTCTCCTCATCACAGCGATTTCCCGTTTGGATTCAAAAAGGTCGAAGTGTGGGCTAGAGAGGAGAACAAGCGCAAGCGTTCCGGTATGTTTTTCTTCTATATTCCATTTGCGTGTGCAGGCAACTACAATACAGGCGTCTGCTTTACTTGTTTCACTTCCTTTCGGTTCGTTCTGTTTTCTCTGGTTAAGCACTGCGTAACTCATTTGTGCCCACCATTTGATTATCAACAATGGACAAGCACTCTGAATCTCCTCTCCAAGTTTTGAGCGATTGGTTTTCCTAGCGTGTAATCTCATCCTGAGTGCTTCCATCCAGTGGGGTACCGGCTACGACCCAACCACCGCCCTGTGTTCTCCTGGTATGTGTGTTCCCCGCTGTTCATGTTAGATCTTCACTTTGTTTGCTATTCCGAATTAACCACCCAGAAATTTCTCCGCAAAAATTCTGGCCCAGCCGAAGATAAATCAAAATTCCAACAGTCTTGAACACGAAAAACGTGTTAACAAAAACTCTGCCAACGTAGCCAGATAATGCCGCCGAAAACACTGTCCTCTCAACTCTGAGGCCAAAGTCCAATTAGCCGGGTGTTTGAAAACGCATTCGTCCGCTCGATCGATTGCCTGATCGACCGCACGGGGTAGGCGATTCCCTTCAGCCCAGCTTTCAATCACCATTATATACTTTCCCTTTTTTCTTTTATGTTTTTATCTGATTCCCGGATACCTCCTCTCCTGAAGCTGCTGCCGTTGTGTATGATGCTAGCCGGAGATTAACCTGATGCCTCCTGGAAGGGATTCTTCGCCTACCGGTGCATCGCCTTGGCTGTAGTGTTCTGGATTCGAATTCCGTGCTCTGCGGTCTGGTACTATTCGTCTGATGACGGGGTTCTTCTACTGGCTCTGTAGACAAGTTGAAGCTGTCTGTCAACAGGTCAAATGGAAGCTTGGCGGATTCTGTTGTTTGTGCTTGTGGTTGTTCGCAGTTGGTTTGCATGGCGTACCCATACCTGCGTTCCAACCAGCACGTCGTAAATGACGCTTCCGCGCTTGCGCTGGATCGTGCCTGGCGTCCCTTTCGCGTGTCCACCCCGATAATCACGCACAAGTACTGGCTGACGCGGTCTAAACGAACGTTGCCTGGCACCAAACCGCCGATTAAAATCACGTTCCATCTTTAGGTTCTTTTCACCAGCTATGGACTCTGAGGATGGCCGAACTGCATCATATGGCATGCGAAGTTTTCTCTTCATCATTGCCTCTGTTGGTGATATTCCACCCGGTGTTTGTAAATTTTGTGTAGATCGATACAGAAATAGGAAGCGGTCGATCACCTCTTCTATGTCTCCCTCCCTCCTTGACTTGAGGAGAGCGCGTTTGAATGTATCCACAAGCCTCTCCGTTTGGCTATTCGATTGTGGGTGGAATGATGGAGACCGCACGTGTTTCATGGCGCAACATTGGCAGAATTCCGTGAATGTGGCCAAAGTAAACTGTGCTCCATTGTCCGTCACCAATGTTACAGGGCAGCCGAACCTGCTGAAGATTTGTCGCAACCTAGAGACGGTTGCGCTGGTTTTCGTGCTTCTCATGAGGAACACTTTGGGCCACTTGCTATAAGCGTCGACCACTATGAGAAAGCTCTGGCCATTGATTGGGCCTGCAAAGTCTACATGAACACGACTCCAAGGTTTAGTTGGTTTAGGCCATGAGCGGAGTTCAGTCTTCGGCGGTGCCCTTGAGGCGGTAGCGCAGTTGCCACAACTTTTAGCTAGCTGCTCCAGCTGCCTGTCCATAAACGGCCAATACACAACTTCTGACAAGCGCTTTCATTCGGTTGAGCCCTGGATGTCCTGCATGGAACTGTCGCAACACTCTTTGTTGCAACGCCTGCGGTATGACTACTCTCTCTGAGAACATGATGCAATCGTCCACAATGGAAAGCGAATGTCTTCGCTGATAGAACTGCTGCATTTCGGCAGATGAACACGAACGTGGCCAGTTGGTTCTGTGGAAGTGTGTCACCTTCTTCAGGATTGGGTCTCGAAGCCTTTCGGCCCGCACAGCATCGGCCGTAACTGGCATACCATGTAGTGCCTCGTTCACCAGGAATTTGACATCAGGTTCGATCTCAACTGAGGCAGTGATGGTGTCCTCGTGTTCTTGCTGCTGGGAATCAATAAGACGTGACAACGCATCTGCTTGGCCTAGCGAATTCGTTGACTGATAACGGATTTCAAAATCATAGCCCAGTAGTGTAAGTGCCCATCGTTGGAGTCGATTGGCTGTATAGGCAGGAATTCCCTTCTTCGAGCCGGAAATGACCAGCAGCGGCTTGTGATCCGTCAAGAGTTTGAAGCGGCGACCATACAGCATCTTGTGAAATTTCTTCACAGCCAACACTATGACCAATGCCTCCTTCTCGATCTGACTGTAGTTTCTTTCAGCTTTTGTTAGCGTTCTGGCGGCATGTGCGATCGCCTTCTAAGATCCATCTGGGAACGTATGGGAAACTACTGCACCGATCCCTAGACTCGATGCGTCTGTGGCAAGGACAATTTCCCGAGAGGGATCAAAATGAGTTAGGAGTAAGTCTGAAGCCAACAATGACTTGACCCGCTCAAACGCATTCTGGCATTCTGGCGTCCAATTCCAGGTTTGGCCCTTGCTCAACAACTTATTCAACGGGGCACGCAAGCGATGTATTTCGGGCAGAAAAGCGCTGTAATGACTGATTAGGCCACAGAATGAACGCAGCGACTGCAAGTCCACGGGTGGGGGCATCTTTTGAATAGCTCGAATATTTTCTGGATCCGGGCGACGACCGTCTTTTGAGAAAATGAAACCGAGAAACTTGATGGTTGGTGTAAAAAAAGGTACACTTGTCTTCGCGGATACGGAAACCATATGACTGGATACGTACAAGCACCTCAGCGAGCCGCTGAACTAGTTCTTCTGCTGTCCGACCCACTAAAATGATATCATCCAGGTATGCCGCGACTCCAGAAACTCCTGCGAGTATGGTGTCCATCAGCTGCTGGAAAATGGCTGGTGCTGTTTTCACGCCAAAAGGGAGGCGGTTGTATTGGTACAAGCCACGATGAGTGTTGATGGTCAGCAATTCTCTTGAGCTTTCATCAACCCCAACCTGGAGGTAGGTATCGGACAAGTCGAGCTTGGCGAAACACTTTCCACCATTCAGCTTGGCAAAGATATCCTCTAGTATCGGAAAGGTGTATTGATGGTCGTCCAATGCGGCATTCAGGCCAGTCGAAAAATCGGCGCAGACACGCACTTTACCGTTCGCCTTTCTCACAGCAACAATCGGCGCAGCCCATGAAGAGTAGTTCACTGGTGTGTTGACACCGGCTCGTTCCAGTCGGTCGAGCTCCTGATCAACTGCTGTCATGGCCGCATACGGTACCGGTCTTTTTGCTCTAAAGACTGGCTTGGTTCCTTCACGAAGACACAACTTTGCTTTGAACTTAGTGCAGTGGCCGAGACCATCTTCAAACAAGGCGACAAACTGCTGCTTTAGCTTTCTGGTCATCTCTTCTATCGACAATGATGAATGTACTGGGTCGGTCTGTACTCTATTGCAAATCTGACTCATTTGAACATCAAACAGTTGTAATTTTTCCATCCAGTCAAGTCCAAGGAGGTTCAAGTTTGCTCGATCGGACAAGTAGCATGTTCCGGCCTTTTCCACTCCGTTGAATGAAATTTTGCAATTTATTTCTCCGACCAACTTCAGCACTCCACCGGATGCATTGTGAGCGACTTTGTTGGAATCAATCATCTTCGGTTTCTTTATGTGCTTCAAAGTGTTCTTGGAAATGATCGTTATATCTGATGCCGTATCGAACTGCTGCCGAGTTGGGATTCCGTTGATAAGCACAGTGATAAATCGGCGGTGTGTTTTAGAATCGCTGTGAAACGTAGCAATCACCGATAGTGATTCTGCGTCAGGTTTTCTGAAATTCTTCCTTCGGTAGGACTGCTTCACATTTCTTGGCCGGGACTGATGGCAAAAGTCTTCCTTGTGGCCGCGTTTATGGCACTTATCACAAATATGACGCTTGGATGGACAGTATCGTGCGAAATGCCATTCACCACATGACCAACAAGATGTAGGTAGCTTGTTCGGCTTTCTGTTGAACGACTTATTCGATCCAGGCTTTCTTGCTTTTTGCACAGCATGAACAGTATCGGCAATGGTGGGGCGACTCTGCTCAATCATAGCCGTGTCGTGTTTCAATCAACCGTTTGCATTCGCCTACAAGAGACTTCAATGTCAAATCTGGGTCTTGATCCAAATTAGCAAGGAGCCGAGTGCGGATTTCCGCATCGCGTGGAGACTGTAAAGCACTGACAAATATAAGACACTTAAACTGGTCATCCGTCAAACAGCGTAACTTGAAACGTTCACATTCACTGTTAACCATGTCTGCTAGTGCCCCATAATCGTCTGTATCACGCTTTACAATTTTTAGACATTGATATCGAATGCTAAACAAAGATGTCGACTCACCAAAAATTTCTTTGAATGTTGCCACTGCTTCGTTGAAAGTGATGTCCTTCGGCTCTTTGGCCAATATGTGGTCAAGGAATCTTGTATGTTCATTAGTACCGAGCTTGCGGAGCGAAAGACGCACTTTCCATGAATCATCTTGACGGCTGTAATCCGTCTGGAACATATCCTCCCAACGTTTGAACCACTCCTCGAAAGTGCATTCGGAATCAGCATCATAATGAAATTCAGTGATTGAATTCGTAAGAAGATCAACTGAAACAGCATGCGTGTCCCGTATAGCTGTTCCGTTTGATTGTACGTTTAAGCACTGCGTTAAACTTTCAATCAGTTTCATTTGTGCTCCCATCCGGGATTGTTGCTGAGGAAGCAACTTTTGAAAATGTTCGGTTGAAAAATTTGTAACCTTTTCGTGCTTGTCCGTCACCATTGTTAGATCTTCACTTTGTTTGCTATTCCGAATTAACCACCCAGAAATTTCTCCGCAAAAATTCTGGCCCAGCCGAAGATAAATCAAAATTCCAACAGTCTTGACCACGAAAAACGTGTTAACAAAAACTCTGCCAACGTAGCCAGATAATGCCGCCGAAAACACTGTCCTCTCAACTCTGAGACAAAAGTCCAATTAGCCGGGTGTTTGAAAACGCATTCGTCCGCTCGATCGATTGCCTGATCGACCGCACGGGGTAGGCGATTCCCTTCAGCCCAGCTTTCAATCACCATTATATACTTTCCTTTTTTATTTGATTCCCGGATAGTTCAACTGAATGATGTGCATGTTGAGGGAGCGTTGGCCGACTTCTATCTACATACTTCCCAGTTTTATTTCTTTCGGCGCACTATGTCTTCTGGTGTATGCGTGTATCTGTGCGTGGGGCAGCCTAAGCCGCCCATGGTCCTACTGTAGGCACAGGTGTCCTGTGGCTATTCGCTGTTTCAGTGACAGGCAAATCCGGATACAGACGCCGCCAAACAACAAGTGGGCCACGAACATATATATATATATATATATATATATATATATATATATATATATATATATTCGTAGTTCTCTGTTCCACAGTTGGTCACTAACTTGATCTCCAATTACTCATAAAGCGGAAACAATCTCCATGCAGTGCCTGTTCGGAGGGTGTCAGATATCTAGCCACTTCACTCACATGTGTTATGTGTCACGTCAAACTCGACATGTCCGGCTATCCATTGCGCATTTTGGACGCATTAATGTTATCCTACATAATTTCCTTTAAATGTTTTGTAACATTTGCCGGAATTAATATTGCAGAATCGCTAACCGCTGGGTAGGCTGAATCATTCCGTTTTAAGCTACTCCGCGCGTTAAACCCAACAAGCTAGCCCAAACACTTCCAGGTTTTAGCTCTGCCTTTTTGATCGTGCCGTGCAAACTCATGGGCACGTAGCCTCGCCGTTGCGAGCGCTCCAGTTTAACGTGACTCGAGATTGGGGTCGTAAACCACTGGAAAAGTCAATTGCTCTACCGTGGCGCTTGCGCAGTAAACCAGTCGGATCAAGTTTATGGCCCGTACAATTTTATCCCAAATGGTTAGCATTTGGCAGGATGGCGATCGGTCACTCTCTAACCCCGTGATGAAGATACCGAGGTTATGTTTGTCTATCATAGACGTGCCTGATATGAGTAGCTAGGAAATGCCGAATCATGCAGCTTGAAAGCACATAGTGACGCAACCCATCGTAGCTCGATGTGAACAGTCCCACCACGACACAGCGCACTGTTTGATTTAACGTTTTTATGCCAGTAAGTCTCAACCCGTTAAATACAAGTGCATACGATCTCCAACTGAAATCAACTCTAAGCGTGAACGTCATTCAGCTTTCATGTATCTTCTCGTCTCCATGTACCTGTTTCCCTGTGCTTGTAGTTGCAATGGACTTGGAGCTCAGTCAGTTCAATTCTGCCCTCTCTGATTCGGAAGACTCCTGTCAGCCCATCGTTAACCATGATTCCTCAGTTGGAGATGCCGACACTGGATCACATCCATCCAGCTCCTCCATTTGCACAGTTCGTGAAGGCATTTACAATCTTGGTGCTATCACCTACAAAGAGCTTCATGTCCTCCCGTTTACTCATTATGAACGTTTCCGGGAAGTGAGTAATTCCTCTCTCTTTACTATTACTTCCTATCAAAACATTAAATGAAGGTCATCATAATCACTAATTCTGCATTTCGGTTGTTGTTGTCGTCGTCGTCGTGACACGCTAAACATGAAGCGTAGTTTGATCACCCTTCATTAGTTAACTGTTCGCCGTGTGCCGTCACTCGGTGTGCTACCTTCTCGCCATTATGGCATGCATTTAAATGCTCTCTGTACTGCTTCCCATCTGCTGTTTGCTCCATCATAAGGTCTCCTACTCCTCACCACGTTATCCGCAAAATCTGTTTACTCCGGTTTTCAGACATGCTACTTCAGGTCTGTCGGGCTGTGTTCCGTTATGCAATTTCGATCGTGTTTCCAATCTCACATCTGGCCAGCATGGGAGACAGATCGTGTTTCTGTGTTTCAGGTGGCAGGTCCCCTCCAATTCCACATTTGCATGTGTGCGCGCATACCATGCACACTGTCCCCTCTAATCGACAGCTCCTTTAACATTCTGCCCATGGGGTTTGTACCATTGGACTAATTTCAACGTTGCTACCAGCAACATAATTTTTTGTTTTTACAATTTCTCCCTGTGCATTTTGGACGGATTGCTTTCATTAGTGTGTCCTGCAATAATTGCTACGAATCACGCATTCACACTTTCCGTCCGTTGTTCCACTGTGACTTAGATGACACTGGTGCTGTCTACCGACATGCCAGTTTTCTTGTTTACCTCCCGGCCCATTCGCCTTCAACTTTTTTCTCTCGTTTTGCGTGCCCAAAAGCAGTGGGTTTGTGGCGAAACTGTTCTCTACTCAATAACCTAGGTGTTGTGCACGTAACAGTGTTGCGAGTATGGAACTCTTTGATGCACGAATGCTCTGAGTTTCTCCCACCATTGGTATACCTTACTCTAAGCACTTTTGGATGTAATCTCACTCCACGACCCACCTGCATCGATTAGAGGCATCATATGGATTTGCTCAATTTCCGTACCTCGGTGCACCTTGCATTTGTCTGTTGTTTCTGCCACAAAAACGTCAGTAGGCTACTTGATACATCCCGTTTGCGCTAGCTGTAGCTATTAGGTCGGTAATAAAGCTATTGCGGTTATTATTTTTATTTTAACAGCTGTGTTTTAATAATTTTTTTAATAAATGCTTTAACTTTGTATAACATTTTGAAGCCTGTTTTGCGATCTGTCTAGCAGTAGTGATAGCTTGGCTCAGAAACACGTTTTTACATCTTTACAGAACATTTAATTAACATGGACCGAAGACAAATTCGCAGTTTTTTTGAACCAATTGAAACTTGGTTGAAATGCAGCGGAAACTGCTCATCACATCAACAGTGCACTTTGTGCTGGAATCAGTGATAACCGTACTGCACAGTGGTGGTTTCAAAATTTCCCGAAAGGTTACGAGAGGCTTGAAGCTAGAGGTTTGTGGACGACCATTGGAAGTGAACAACCATCAATTAAGAGCCTTAGTTAAAGCGTATCCGCTACTATTATACGAGATCTTGCTGCTGATTTGGCTGTATTGCATGTGACAGATTGATAACATTTCCGTGTGATTGGAACGTCGAAAAAGGTTGATAAGTGATTGCCGCACGAATTGAATGAAAATCAAGTAATCCTCATTTTGAAGTTTGGCTGCCCTTCTGTGCAATAAAAACGACCTGTTTCTCGACCGGGTTTTGACGCGATAAAAAGTGAATCCTTTACGACAATCGACGTCGAACTGCTCAATAGTTGGCCCACAATCAAGCCCCACAAATGGTTATGGTGACTGTTTGGTGGTCTGCGAGTAGTCTGATCCATCACAGCTTTCTGGATACAAGCGAACCCATTACAGTAGAGAAGTATTGTCAACAAATTGTCGAGATGCACCGAAAACTTCAACTCAGGTGCCCCGCACTAGTCAACAGAAATGCGCCAATTCTTCTCGGTGATAACGCTCGGTTGAACACCACACAACCAACCCTACGGAATCTGCATCAGCTAAGTTAGGGAACGTTTCTTCACTCTCCTGATCTCTCACTAATCGATTACCACTTTTCCAAGCATCTGGATAACTTCCTCCGAGAGAAAAATATTAAATCCCATGGACATGTTGAAACCGTCTTCTAAGATTTCATCGCCTCCAGATCTCAGGAATTTTATTCATCCGGCATAAATAAACTTGGTTTCCGTTGGCAAAAGTGTGTGAATTCAAATGGCTTTTATTTTGAATAAAAATATTACCTTTGAACCAAGATTTAAAGTTTGCGATTAAAAACCGCAATAACTTTATTAGCAACCTAAAATCTCGCATTCTCCTCATCCACGCCTTTGTTCACTTCTGCTCACGTCGCCCAATGCATCTTTTATACTGTGCATTTGTTCACACATCCCTCCGCCTTTTCCATTTTCCCTCTCTTTGCCTAGATCATGCGTACCTGTTTGGACTCCGAACTCGTACCCTTATGCATTTTCGTATGGCAAAATTTACCCAACGAGTCTTCGAGTAGAACCAGCTTTTTGTCCAGTTTACTGCTTACCACCATTGAACTCAAATGTCATCTCCAGCTTGTCCTCAGTCTCCTCAGAGCCGATATCATGCCGCAAAATCCAAGTGAGATATGCTTCCTTGCCATGCATTGTCCACCTCCTATTATTGCCGATTAAATCACCACCTACCATGCACTTCGTGCTGAGTTCCTTTCGGCTGTCACTGAATTTGTCGCCAGCGCTATCGCTATTTAATCACCTCCAATCTCACAATTCTCTTTTTTCGGTATTATATTAGTTGATCTAACAAAAGCTCATGAAGAACCAGTCTACCTTGTCCCTCCAAATCGTTGTGGATGACTGTCATCCATGCGCTTCGCAAATGCTTTTCCTCGGGTCAATATCCATAAGTTGTGTGCGTGAACACTATTGTCGCCGCTGTACTTCTATATCTCTCGAACACATTTTTTAAATGTTCTATCCATAACGCTACCACCTCAGCCTTCACTAATGTCTCATCCTCCATCGTTGTGCTAACAACGATAACAGCACATCGGCCATTTGAGCTGATCCTTCGCTGCCGTACAACCACGGAGACCTACGGAACGAAGAATAATAGTTGGGAAAAATAGGGGTTGTAGCACTAAACCTTAATACTCGAACCACACGTTCACAGTCGACGTGCCTACACCTTGCCAATGACATGCAATCACAAACAGTTGGCTATCGTACAAGGCGGCATCGGCGAGATAGCTTCCTTGCGGCTTTCAGTGGCCGACATCATAATCAGACATTACCCCGCAGGTAACTCAGCACAAAACACATTTTAAACAGGCAGTCCGACTATGAGACGACAGCAAACAAACCACTGGTGTCCACTGCGAACTATGTCCTATAAAGTCTAGAGCCAAGCACAAGGCGCGTCATGTGGACTCCAGCCCGGAAGATGAGATGGACCAACGGCACCAAGTTTCGTATTCAGTGATTTCATTTCTCGGTGCCAAGTCAACTTCTATCCATCTCGAACCTCGCACCACCCTACATCTGGCAAATAAAACAGCGCTCTCTTTGGTAAGCGGTGACCAGGCATACGTGGTACGTGCGCAACCAACGCAACTTATTCAACGTTATCTGTTGTTTGAAGAAACTAGTTTGATCGCCATCACCTATTACTCGCCCATGCACATCATTGCTGCGGGCACACTGCTGTCATCGACATCAGCAATGCTTCGAAGGCACCGATGGTCAAAATCTAGTAGGCGCTACAAATAATCGCACCGAAGAGTCGAATTATCACTCCGATACAGTCGGTCGTCCCTCACTGTTGCCTTATATACACGGCCTTTTAGAATGGAGGGGTACCCCTTTCTGACGCCACACACGTCGCATATTCGAAAAGCAGTTCGAGCTTTTGTAACATGTGTACATCACTTCTCGATGGGTTGATCCTACCTTGCGTTCTTCAGAGGAACAATTGCGAAATTCTTATCAGATCGCGCTCACCCCAAACCATCAAATTTTACGCGCGATATCAGGAGACGTCGACCATGTCTGCTTTTGTGACAGCATCGGCACCATGCTCTCCTACTAACCACTCTGGCAATCCGGATTTCCTTGCCCACCAGGATCGCCACACAATGAATTCCCACGGTTCCCCTTATTCTACTATTTGTTTCGGTTTACAAAACTCGAGTGTCTCCTTCATGCTGAAAGGAATACGCCGTCGCTTTTTTCCGATCACATACTCGCACCGACCAGCTCATGGTACTTTAGAATTTGTGCCCTCATTCGCTGATTAACTTTGAATGGCAAGTTGTCCACAGTAGACTAAGGAGATACGTTATGTACTGCCCTCGAGTTCATAATTCACTACATTCCTAGAATTGGCATCCAAAGTCAGTCTCATATGCGCCGCTGGTGCGAGGCATAACCAAGTTTATTTTACCACCTCGCAGAACTCTTCACAGAGCAGCACTGTGCAGTGTCCAATTGCCTGTGTCCATACTACAGACCTTATAAACACGACTAGTCTCTACATCATCATCTGGGCATTCGAGGGGTCAGTCTTGAGGGTTAATTTATAGGATCCGTCAAAAGATTTGACCCACTGTCTGGACGCTCACATCTGGGGTTCGGTGGTGGTTCTGCTGAACTTGACTGCGATGAATATCACTTCGTTGAAATTGAGGTTTTTGACATCAATGTTCAACAAAACGTTTACCTACCCCAAAGTTCAGGAATACTGAGGAACAAGCCGAGTCTTGCGCCAAGGACCGCTCGTATGCCCCCCTTTCCTATGCTTTTTGGACTATCAATGCGGCGCATCCGGGATCCTGAGGCCAAGACCACATCCATTTGTAGTTTTGACGACCACCATTCTTCCACAACACCGAAGCTGTGCTTCACTGTAACAATCACGGATCCAAGGCAATGCTTCCCGAGTGGAAGGGCTGACAGCGTGGGGTCACACAGAACTCCTGCTCAAGGGCAGGTTTGAATGTGACTAATTCTTGCATGCAGTCGGGATACATTTCCTACTGGCAACGCTAGTCAACGGAGTGGAGTACAGCATGCGACGCCCACATATCACACGTGGGCATGGTATTTGCTACTGCACCATCGAGCGAATTGGCAGTCGCACGCAAAATCGTTTCCACACATTTGACGGCTCTGGTTTGCGACTGAACGAGTAATCAGTCTAACAGGAGGGTCAGGATTAACAATGTTCCACCTATAGCCCTTTCCCCTGACGGCCGCGGTGGAGCCAAATCAATGGCGCCGAGCCATTCATATTACCGGTGGGGTCTACAGCAGACACTGGAGTTATAGTTACTTCCAGTGCACGCCCATCGCTGCTGACTCAGCGGCCGGCATGCGTGGATTGATCAACTACCTAGCGAATATCAACACGATGTGAGCGATTGTTATGTGGTTGTGCTTTTCGCTGAGCCTTTGCGGTCCTTTATGACCCTCTGTCTAACCGTCGCTGTTACTGCTCAGCTTCTGTCAGCGCTGATTTTAAATGGTAGTCATCGAATTACATTACTGTTCCCATGTCTTGAGCGCCGTAGAGAGCCTCCAATCCTCATTCAGGTTTTAGATGTCCTATCAATTGTTGAACCTTCTGACACAGGCTATTAGCAAGCATATAGAGGTAAAAACATTGGCCAAGTCATCAATTGATGTTTGAAAATCGCTTGTTGGGTATGCATGTACAACCATCTTTTCTACCTTTCGCTATTGCAAAGTTTGAGCCAGTGCTCTGTGATCCATAGCTAACAATGTTTCCTCTAAAGTAACTTTCAGCGAAAATGCTAGCCTGTGAGTACATGATGAACACTGCGGGTAATATCCTTGAAGCATTATTTTCCCGATTTGTATTTGACCGTGCCTCTACGGCTTCAGGTGTGCATATTTCGAGCTAGCTTCTGTTTAGTCTGAATTGTGGTATTCTGGCAACCCTTGACTTAAGATCCATTCATCTGCTTTAGGTACCACAGTTGCGCCGTGCGCGTTACTGTCGCTTATTTGAATCACTAGTTTCGCGAGTGCATTCAGGGTTACTGCTGGATTTACGTTCAGGTACACTTTCATGGGTCATACGTTTTGACAATTTTTGTAGCCGTTGGTGCTGATCTGTGCCGGAGTTCCTCAAGTATTGACACAGCGTTTGCGCCGTACTCATTACGAACGCTATGCGATTTCCAAGAGGTAATAACTTAGAAACGTTTTCTCATTCAGTCTGTATTTTTCTGTTCCCTCAGCCGATGCGTTTCGTGGTAATACGTTGGGCACACAAATTCTGGATCAGTACAGCAACATCGTTTGTACTGAGTGGCGTAACCAGTGTTTCAAACGCGTACGTGAAGAAGCCTCAAACAGTGCTCCATCATCTATCAGCTCCGCCGGCTCCCATCTGGTGAAATCTTTATCGGGACTCTCCATTGATCACCTTCCTGCAGGGCCGAATGTCCAAAAGACGTCAGGCCTCTCTTGCCGTCCTACTCCCGGTCTGGCGCACTCCTCCTCCAACAATGTCGTTGGAGCCGATGACACCCCAGGCATCGCAGACCAAACAAACCAAATTGGCTCTCCTTCCTTTGGTGAGTTCAGCTCTAGAAGATTACAGCTATTCATTGCACAAACAGACAAGTTATGCCTAATAAAACACGTACAGAGCGATGCTAGATTCATTCGTCAACCACTGGCCTTTTGAATCCACGGAATGCGTCCCTTTGTTCCAGCAGATCTTGAACATATGCAGCTTGCAATCACGCAAGACGAGTGCTTTGGACAGTAGCTTCGCTGTTTGGCGGACTCTGACCACTATGAACTCGATCTGCTCCCTGAAATTGTGGGTGCTTGAATAATGAATACCCAAATCTGTTATTGTGTTACGGAATGAAATTCGCTTCCCACAGAGGTATGCGTCCATAACAATTTTGCATCAATACGCTAATATCCCGCATTTGTCCGCAACGAACGACATTTGCCAGTTGTTACATCATGTTTCGTGAGCCAGTAAGTCTCTCCGTATGTTATCCAAAGTGTGTTTCAGATTTCTAGGATTAAACATGTACAGTGCCTTGCTGCCATTAGCGAAAATGTAGGGTGTGTACCATTTTAATGGCGTTTCTTATGTTATGAATGTACAGCAAGAAGAGCAGTGCACTAAGGTCCCTCCCTTGGATCACACTACTAGTAACAAGCAGCGTTGATGACTTCTGGATACCTGTTTGAACTTGTTGAGTGTAGTCAATAAGATATGATCTAAACCAAGCATGCAACGGGTCTATGATGCCAAATTGTGACGTTTTTCCTAACAGGTGCCCATGCGGCACTCTATTGACTGTTTTTTTGCATGTCGATGAAATTGATGATAGCTTCATGGTCAATATCCACAGAGCTCGTCAAACAATTCGGGAATTCCAGCTGACATGTTTGACACCATCGCTTTTCTATAGAGCCATGCTGAGTTTGGTTACTCAGGTTTTGTGACTGTTCGTTCTGTTACTCTCGTAACAGTAGGCGGTAGTTTCTAAGATCTGCTTTTGGTCCATTTGTGTCTAGGTTTGACTAGCACTAGTTTCCATTGGACTGAACATGGTGGACATGTTTACGAGTAAAAGCGGTATATCATGGTCACCATATTTTAACAAGGAAGTTGATAGACCGTATGGGCCAGGATAAGTGGGTGATCGTAGTCAATCTATGTGGCCCCGTATATCTCTGCTGTTGAAAGCCACTGTGCTCGGTTGTACGATGTTACTGGGTGTATTCGACCAGGTTACGTCATGTGGAACAGTGAACAGTAAATTAAAGTGATTATTTAGTGCAATTGCTATTGTGCAAGGATCGGAAGTCAGCTATTTGTCTGGTAGAATAATGGCGGAAACTCTAACGGGTTGGATTTTATTTTGAGTCCGCATCATTTCGGCTAAGTCTCTGGATCTGTTGTAAGACTCCAGAGCTCGTTTCTCTTCCAGCACATGCTAACTTAAATTCAACAAGGAGTTTGTCCCGCCATATTAAGACGGGGAAATCGAGCGTCCGTTTAATCTGAGTACATTAGTTACTTGGTTGAATAAGCGCGGCGTCCTTAATGAGACATTTTTACTCGATTGTTATTTGATCAGCGCAAGATTGACAAAGATTTGTTGGATGTTTGCTTACATTTCATCAACCGCACTCTATAGTTCTTTCGTAAGAAAGAATAAATCCCAGTTCGTTATTCCCAGAAGAGACGAAAACTTGACGGTACTGAAAGATTTCTCTGATTCTGTTGATCGCAGCGCTTATGTGTATTTACTTAAGAAACGTACTGGGTAACGTCTTTCCACCCGGAAATTTCCTCAGGGGACTTTTTCCTACAATGTTACTGTAGTTGTGCCAATACATTTGCTTATGTGAAACATGTTTTTCTGCTGTTTATCAATGTCGGGTTAGCATAGTCAACTCCGAATAACTCTAGCATGCTCCTATCATTTCGCATACGTTTCATACCTTCAACATGCAAAGTGTTGTTGTAGAACCACTAGCCGCTTGATGACCCTTTGATAGTGAGAATGTCGAGGTGTAGCTGCTCGATTCACCTACATTTGTAGCTGCATCAGCAACATCGGGCTCACAACCACTGAAGTCAGTTCACAGATTGCAAAAGCTATACCTGTTTTTGGATTTGTTTCAGAAAGGGGTATTTCTAATAAAAGACCATGTATACAAGGCCACAGTGTATCGAGGTGAGACTTCGACCCTGCGTTACGATTATTTGTAGCGCCTACTAGACTTTGACCATCGGTGCCTTCGAAGCATTGCTGATGTCGATGACAGCAGTGTGCCCGCAGCAATGATGTGCATGGGCGAGTAATAGGTGATGGCGATCAAACTAGTTTCTTCAAACAACAGATAACGTTGAATAAGTTGCGTTGATTGCGCACGTACCACGTATGTCCAGTCACCGCTTACCAACGAGAGCGCTGGTTTATTTGCCAGATGTAGGGTGATGCGAGGTTCGAGATGGATAGAAGTTGACTTTGCACCGAGAAATGAAATCACTGAATACGAAACTTGGTGCCGTTGGTCCATCTCATCTTCCGGGCTGGAGTCCACATGACGCGCCTTGTGCTTGGCTCTAGACTTTATAGGACATAGTTCGCAGTGGACACCAGTGGTTTGTTTGCTGTCGTCTCATAGTCGGACTGCCTGTTTAAAATGTGTTTTGTGCTGAGTTACCTGCGGGGTAATGTCTGATTATGATGTCGGCCACTGAAAGCCGCAAGGAAGCTATCTCGCCGATGCCGCCTTGTACGATAGCCAATTGTTTGTGACTGTGTGTTTTTGACACTGGTTTTAAGCGCCTTGATCCTGTACACTTGTTTATGGCATTGTGGTTTTGCGATAGTTCTCCCTCTACTCCCAGATTGTACGGCAGCGAAGGATCAGTTCAAATATCTGATGCACTTCTCTTGATGTTTATGGTGATCTTGACCACTCCATTTCTCTTCGATTTTTTTCGTTTCTGCCGTAATTAGTTTTATCTGGTGGTGTGAATAGTTTATGCTTCGCACTCTCATGCTGGATTACAATTTACCGAGCTTTTTTTCTACTTCTCCCATGGTCAACATTCCGCTCGTCACCGATTATCAACCCTGTAATATGTATGCACCACACCCCTCCTTGAGTTAGACCCAGCTGCTGTGCACTCTGTCGAATTGGCTTATGCAAGACTGCGCGCTTCGTCATTTGCTTCGCGCCTACTTTACGCAGATTGATGTAGAGCTGACCTGACACACTGCAGCACTGATCTATTCATCTACGAATGCTGATGTGTCTTCCCTCCCATCTATGAATACAGCGGAGGTAAGCGTGCCGGTCAAGGGATGGGTCTACATCACTGCGGTGCAGTGAACTTCACCATGTGGAGCAGGAGATTGTGCTCTGCGCGTTAAGGTCATTGACTAATGCCGTGTTTAAACCCTACTGATTGCTAGCTGTCGCTCGCGTCCGGTAGAAGAAACGAGTTTGTAATGCTGAAGTGGCTGTTGTACTCGAATCCACTCCGCTGATTCGACCATCCGCCTTGCATCATTGCAAGCCGATTATATGGGTACATTGTTCGCCATTACTGCACCTAATTTTGGCGAATCTCCTGACACCTTGTCATAGTCATAACAAAATAGGTTGAAAAAGCCCATCGAAAGATGGTATTCCGTTGGTTTGTTATCTTCCTAGACTGATTGGATACCTGATCAGCAAATCAACCTAGTGCTGTGTTTTCTGGCTGACAGTACCCAATTTCCATCAACCTAGTTTGTTTGCTTTTTGAGCAATTACTAGATCCTTGTCGGACTAGTAGATTTTGCACGCAGCTGTCCAATCAGAGATGCATCCTGACTGTTAAATGCAGAGTTACATGCGATTCATCGCTAACAAGTCCAAGTTCACTTATACCACATTCTCATATATGTTCTCTTTGTGCAAGTTCGCTTGTGCAGCGAGGCAACAAAGGCCACAGCAGAGCAATCTCGCCATTGCTACATCATCTCAATACGATGATATGGCATTTATAATCCCCATATGGTTGGCCGTTTCGAGTCAAACATCCTTTTATTTCCATTGCACAGGTAGAACAGCGAACTGTCAGTGGCCACTTCCTACGCAATGTTTAGCGAACTGTTTTTGCTGGACATTTTCCGTTCGCATACACGAAGAAGCTTTCTGTTTTTGTACTTCAGTATAGCCCATGACCATGTTTGCTTAGGATAGTGTCCGTTTTCTGTTCTGAAAGTGCTTACCTTTATCATCACTGGTGTTTACAGTAATTGCTACGCCTCGGAGAACAGTTATCGCTTCGATCGATGTTGGTCCCTATCTCTCTCCTTCCTAGGCATGTCGGGGATTACATCACAAGTGCAGCAGCAGCAGCAACCACATTCGTCACCTCAGACTGCTGAGCAGGAGTGGCATTCACATCTTGTATCCATTGCTGTAGACGATCTAGTCAACCATGTCGATCATTTTCCGCTCCAAATCCGCTGGGTGTATTCCGAACTACAGGTTTGTTCCGCAGAGTGTGTCACATATGCATACCGCTGTTGCTATTGTTACATTCACTGAGAGCTTTATCACTACGATCCTACTTTCCCACCATCAGCACCGACATAATTCCCTCATGCCGTATGAGTCGGCGCAGTCTCAAATTCACAGTACAATCTCGCCATGTCTAAACCTTGTCTGTGTACCGAGTTCGTCCCAATTGTGTTGCACCAGTGGAACTGCCCATCTCACTCTGCCTATGCGACCCGGAGGACTGTTTCTTGTGACGTTGTGGATGACAAGTCTTGTGGGTCATCTGATCCGGCTGTTTAACCTGGTCTCGCATAGCCTACGAGTTGTTAGCGGACGGTCATCAGGCTGGTGTATGCAATGGTAGTTGCAAGACAACGGTTAGAAGAAAAGAGCGATGAACTGTGATTAACCAGTTGGATCAGACTCTAGAACCAATGGTGCTCAGTGGCCCTTCCACTATGCATACGCTTGGTAGCAACTCTTTGTATGTTTTTGGTATCAGCGAATCTCTTCCGCATTGGCATTTATGATCCACAGTTTTTGGCACCAGCGTAACTTTGGTGATCTCATTCATCACCGGACGTTATTCTGCCACGGTGATTATGACACTTTCCAAAACGGCATCGGATCCGTGTGAAGTTCCCACGCATCACTCCGTTGATGCACCAATGGCTTCCGGAAGTATCTGGTGCACTTGCATTACCACTTGACCACCGGATCTCGCCCCTGCATATGTAATTGAAGTGCGCGGAATCAGGGGGACCGACAGTGGTCCTGTTGCAACCAGAATAGGGCATTCGGTCACTTACATAAACTTCTTTAATCTTCCTTGGTAGAAGTACAGTCTGCGTCACATGTTCCAGAGGCGGCTCCGCCTTGGATTTGCTCGAAGCTCTGTACCTAACATCCTACTTACTGTTACGCACTGTAGATGCCGCCTGGATTGGTAGTGAAACGTCTGCAATCAAATTGCTCAGCCCAGAGAAGCAATCAAAACTTCAACTGCCAACCCGAGCTACCCGGTATTCAGACTTGTTGGATTGTTATTTTATACTGTTTGTCACTCTTTCATGTCATGCCATACCAGTAGTACTTAGCGGAGCGATTGCGGTTTGATGATAACCAGGTTTGATCTCATAGATTACGTCTGATGGATGGCCGTGTTGCTAATAAATTGTTTGTTGAACAACATTTTCTCTATGGCTCACCGTTGTGCGTGCGACTCTCCAAGTAAGCTTGCTTTCCTTTTCCGCGAGTTGGCGTTCTCTAACCTTGTTGTTGTGAATGCCATCTGGAAGACATTTGACAGCCATAGCTTCTTCACATTTTCTGGGTGGTGACTCATGATAAGGTCAATCAGCGGGTTAATATTTCGTTAGCGTATTCTTTCTCTCCTTGCCGTAGTTGGGGAAAATTTAGTTGTGCAGCAAACCCATGTTGTAGTAGGCTGCAAAGTCCACTCATTGCTTTCAAACACTCTGGCAAGGAAATTTTTTCGTACAATCTTAGTACATCAAAACCCCCTGATCCTCTGCGCCATGGTGATGTTCCAACCTTTTGACGGATTGATACTCGTTAGTATTGATGTGAGCATTTGTGACTCTAAGGAGTTCAAGATCATTACAGGATGTTCGCTTCCCTCGAGTCCAAACTACAACGGATAGCTTGTAATCCATTTACTTTGAAAATGGCTCAGCTGGAGCAAGGTGGTTTATAACAACTAACCCCTTGGTATAGAATCCGTCGCCAATGTTGAAGTCTGCTCAGCCGGAACCAACGCAAGGTTTGCGAACACAGCATTGGCTCGTAACAGAGTCGACGTAAGGACAGCAGAACACGCCGGGCTGCTAGCGCACCATGAATTATAACAACAATCGTGTACAGCATATCAGTCAGGTACCTAATAACAGTTCACAAATGACTGGGTGCGTAATAAACAGACCTACACGAGCGTCTACACAGACAGTTAGTGCTGGGTATTCGAATATCTGGCGCTAATGATCCACACGTTATAGTATCACATTCAACTCCACGCGGTAGACCAGCCATGAGCACTTCACACATGTTACGCTGGCGTACGATTAAATAGTCAAGCATTCGAGTGTGACCACTCTGTGGGCGCATCCAATTACAGCATCACCCGCACCAAGTGAGCATTGTGCATTTGTAAGCTTCAGACCATGTGTATTGAGAGCAGACGGTCATATTTTTCATTGGTTAAGCCGATACCATGCAGCCCCATTACATCTACCCACGCAGTGGCATAAACTCCAACGAGCGCATTGATTTCACCCAGTAGGAATACGTGGTCGCTCCTCGGCACGGACCGTATCACGAAGGACAATTGAGATCAAAACTGATTCTTTGTGTCGTCAGTATAACACATGGTGGGACCATCTATGTTTATCACCGGTTGTAATCTCACCGTGTACAAGGCTTGGACAAAGTGCCATCAATCTTTGGCTGATGTCGGTCTGCTCTTCCGTCAGGTAGCCAATTAGGCAACTATATAGTGCAATCCCGACCCCATGTTCCCTTGGTGGTTTGGTGGAATTTCGCACCCAATAGATCGTGTAGCCATCCCCATTCTCGTACAACTTGCCTTGACCAACCACCCGATTCTCACTGAGTGCTGCAATATCAACGCCGCAGCGACCATGTTCCATGGCTACCAGCACAATGTGTTACTCGGGTCGATGGTTCGTGTTTCAGTCAACAAGTGTGCATACGTTCCATTATCCGATCTTGAGCACTTTGTGCGGATGCATACAGTTGCACCTAGCAATCGCTCGGGTGGTGATTTGCAGTTGGCGCATGTACGTTGAGTTGGTCGAAAGATGGGAGGCGTTATCTACAGCATTTTTTCGCTTATCCGCCTTGCTGTATATATGCAAACAATGAGACCGTTCTCCACTGCCCGACTGCCGATGTCGCACGAAATTATTTGTATTTTTGTGGTTGCTATATTTGTAGTTGTAGTGATATACTGCTAGGGCGTCCAGGTATTACCAGAAGGTTGGGACGTGTCCCCAGCCAACGCCTTAGATAATATGTACCTAGAGAGACAAAGGAAAATGCACCCAAAGTCAATCGACCCACTTGGATGTGTCCTGGCTCTTAGCCAGGGGAATCCTACAACCTTGTCCAGTGCATAACTCTAGCGTAACAGCGGGTCATTGATGGCGCGTCAGGTCTGGCCACCACCATCCGCAGCGTGACATTGACTCCTCGCACACACACCCACACACACATATATATATATATATAATGTATATATAGTGTGATAAATTTCATTCCACTTTATTTGGCTTGTTCTGTCTACCTGAAAAATGTTCTATTAACTTGCACTCGTTGCTTACGCTTATTGTGGCTATTTTCGTTAACCTTATCGCGTTTGTGGCATTTTTGAGTAACTTCTGAACATCTTGTAATTATCGCGGATTTCTTGCCAATCAACTTACTTCATATGCTAATTTAGCGAAGAGTTATGTCAGCATAACCGTATGCTTAAACAGATATATATTATTTGATAGTGTCATTTCAAGTGATTGGCTGTTGTTTGACATCCCCGGTGTGGCTGCGCTAGATATGCATGTTGACAAGTTGCCCACCTGTCTATTACGCACTACCTCGTCCATACTGGCTCCAGGAGACAGCTGGTCGTTGCTGGAGTGGACGTGGTGCACGACCCTTGTGCACGTGTTGGGCTCGAAGAGTGGTTCCATGCATTCAGTGTGGAGCGGACTACGGTCCACCGACCGCCTTGTGTGCACTGGATTCCCAAAAGCAGCATGCCTGTGGTTGCCTGTGAAAGTGTTTGGGCCGGCTCCGTTGATAAAATGTGGCTCCCATCCACCTGTCTCCCGGTCTTATTCCTTCGGGTTTACGTTGGATGTGGGGTGTGGGGTTGGAGCTGTGGGTGGTACAGCGCAAGCCACCCATGTGCCCTCTGTAGGCGCAGGCGTTCTGTGGCTGGCCATAGTGACAGGCAAATCCGAAACCGGATGCCGCCAATCGTATATATATATATATATATATATATATATATATATATTCGACGTACTTCATTCCCGCTCACCGTCTCACCTTTCTCTTGAATTCCGATTGGTTGTGTGCGCTATGTACCTTCTTAAGAATGAAGAGTCAAGCTGCTTTAGACGAACGGCTGCATTGTCGCAACTTGAGCAATTTAGCTTCTCTCTTGTTGCTGTACCATATTTTCAAATGCCTATAGCGCTTCGTTACTGCAGCTTTGTGTGGACATTCACTTTTGTTTCAGTCACGAGTTGTTACCGATCAATTTTGGCCCGCGATATGGTCCGCATTTTAGTGTTACAAATAATATGTATATCTTTCGGATGCATTTAAAGTAGTTCCTTTAACATGGAGAGGTCATTAGGTCCGGTTTGGATCTTGCATCAATGAGGTTAACATTCTGTAGTACTGTTTTGTTAAAACATTCTGAAACGCACGTTTCTTGTTGGTGCTGAGTTTTGTAACAGTTTTTCCCTACTGGCGATATAATTTTGTCCATCCTTCCGTTCCCTCCATTCGGCGACTTTCCTGACTAATACATGGCTGTTACCTAGTTCCAGTCCAGGAAACATTCACGCTTAATGCGAAATGCTGTTGTACTTGTTTCCACATTTATTACTTAGCTTATTTGAGTTAATATTCCTTAGGCTTTTTTGACTGGTGCTTTCTGCTAACTCGTTTCCTCCTTTCTTTGATCGATTTGGTTGTTTACATCTGTTTCAGGCTCAATTAGGGGATCAAATGAGCAATTCCGTCATCCGCAATTTGGTTTTCCTTCGCGGCATCTGCCCCTGTCTGTTACCCACGTCAAGTAGCGGACGTTGTTCCATTTCCAACTCTTTCTCTACCGGTGTTGCTGGCAGCAGCGGCGGCGCTGTGAATTCTCAAATGTATCCAGGTCTCAATTCTTACATCAGCTTTAGCCTCCCTGAATGTAGCGCTACTGGACTGCTCTCCTCAACAACGTCCACAGCGGGATCATCACAAGTGGCGAACGAGGTTAGTTACCTTGACAATTGTCCCCTCATGGGATTCGCGCAGCTGTGTTCACTAAATGGGCGCGTAGTTGGAATGCGTGGTTAACTTGCTGCATGGTTAACGAATTATCATTCCATTAACGCAGGTTCTTTCCTCCAGAAGCTTAAATCACAATTGATCTATGTATCGTCTGTCCTAACTAATCTCCACCGGATCATTGTACTCAAATCCGGTTATTGTTCTGCTGTTCTATATGATCATCCATCGCAACTGGACTGGACCTTAACGTGGTGCGACGGTTTGCACACTTCCGTAACTCATTGAACTACGATGCGTGGCACTTTCTAATTGTCTTCAAAGCCACTCATGCCGGACAGGTCAATGGTTAGGGGTCAGACTAACTGAGTCTCACACTCCGATCTTCTTGGAGGTTAAGGTGATGTCGATGGCACTCTTCCTTTAGGACATAGCCAAGGGTGACAAGTGGTCTACAAGTTATAAGCTCGCAGCTACATGGACTTAGAGCACGAGCGCCACGCATTGTCTCTGACGGTGGGAGGGCATCTTCGGATGCTCAGTGGTTTGCTACCGCCCACCTCAAGCCAGGCAGCCCCTGGTTAAATTGGTACAAAACCGCCAACCTGCGGCTAGTCGTGATCTCAGGTGCGTAACGTAATAAGGTCGTAAAACATATGTGCATCCTGTCAAATCTTCAAAGGCTGTGTGTGACAGGCGTTAAGCAGATCCCGCTGAGTCTCTGCAATCACACTCCCGAGCTGGACTTGCTCCCCACTGTCTTGTGCGTCAGGCTATTGAGTAAATTTTTCCCGGTGGAGTCCCGCAAGCGAACCACTATTTACCCCCTGCCTTGTGGTTCAGAGTGTTGGGTCAAAGATTAGAGACAGAGCACCTCGAAAAAAACTCTCTCTTGGAATGGGCAGCCGGAGAGTATCATACGACCTCTCGACTCTATCAACAATACTCCATCTTCTTTTCCTTGTTATTTTTCTCCCCTGCTGCTGCCATCGATACAAGAAACTTTTCCATCAACCCAAATTCCATTACACATTGGCTCTTTTAACCTCCGTATTCTTCGTCAGGTCTGCCAGCAAGCAGCCCTAACTCTAACGCTTCACTCTCTTGTTATTGATGTGTGCTGTGTCTCCGAAACACATATACATGATAACAGCGTCATGATGAGTCTTCCATTCCCTGGTTCTGTGTCGACAACGACTGCACCCTTCGCTTCTGTAGTGACACGGCAGCATTTACTCAAGGCGTTTACGGTGTCGGTACCGCACTCAACAAACATGCCGGAGGCAATCTACTCGCCTGGATACCAGTGTACAGTCGCATGTGTGCTTTGACTTCGAACTTATGTTGGGATTAATGAGCACCATCTGAAATCAAGGTGCCTATCATCGCCTCAGTATATGCCTCTACTGAATGCAGTTCAGAAGGTAGCAAAGACGATTTCTATCAACAGCTCTCATCTCTTCTTCGCAGGGCGAAGAATACTGGTATCGAGATTGCTATTGGTGACATGCATGTCCAAGTGGGTCGTCATCTTTCATACTTTGAACAACAACTATTAGGCCGCTTCGGGGTCGATGTACGCCGAACAGACAATGGTGATCGATTACTGTAAATATGCATGGACCCCAAGCCTTAGCAGCATTGCTTCCCAGTACGAATGTTTACACCTCGTCTCCTGGCGCCCACCGAATTCCTCATTGAGTGACCCATTTTGACCACATTGCCATCGGCTACTGGCGGCTCACACCAGTCCAGTAACGTCGGTCGGTTTGGAGCACGTGCGTAGATTCAGATCATGCTCTAGTACGAGTATGCATGGAGCTCACTCTTCCCACTCAAACGAGGCGCCTATCTTCTAACCATGTTACTTGTGACTTGAGCTGCCAGTCTATAAAAAGTTCAACAACATCATGACCAATTGGCTCACCAATTGTCAGTGATGAATGAGGTTAGTGAGCCGAACGCCGACTGGGATTTTCTCAAGTATGTCATTAAGAATGGCTTGACGCCTGCTGTGCATCTGACCTGAAACATCCGAACTGTGAATGGATCTCTGAAGCATCGATCAGTTTGATTGAAGCGCGTAAACAGGTTCCAATGTGCACTGGGTTTAAACCTTGAAACTACGACTGACGATTATTCTTCCGATTGACCGGAAATATTGGTTGGTGTCAAGGATCCATGAGATGAAGAAAGCCAGTGCAATTAGTAGAAGCCAAATCAAATTCAAGGTCATCCAGAAAACTGGCCCGAGAAAGCCATAAATTAATGAGACAATAGCTGAGAAAGAGGACATATGATCCAATCTCAGCCTTGTCTACTAGCCCATTGGGCGTAGCATTTTGGAGAGCAGTTCAGCAGGCGTGCTGCGACACTGCCAGTTGCCGAATCACCTGAGCCGAATTGCGAAGTATATGCCAAATCTCCCACTTTGGAAGAGATTCTTCACGAGTTTGCCGTGTTAAAACGAAACAAGGCTCTGATACCCGACAACTTTCCACCATTTTTGCTGTCTCTTTGTTGACTGCACTCGCCTCTACTCAACGCGATTTGGGACACTGAAGTGGTGGCATTAGACTTGCGGATGTCAAATTTCGTGCCCATCTACAACAAACGTCAGTGTACTTTGTGCGAAAATCATTGAAGCATTAGCGTTATTTTCACTGACTCTAGACTTCTCACGAGTATCACTCTTAGACGACTTACGCTGGTCCTCATGAGATCCCATTCACTAAAAGCTGGATTCCACCATGGTTGTTGTTGCATCGACCACATGTTTACTATTCATCAAGTTTTAGAGCAGAGACACACGTGCAGATGATCGACAATGGTGGTTTCGTTGACTTGAAAGCCGCCTTCGTGTCTGTTGACCGCACCAGATTGTGGCACCGCCTATCCTTGAAGAGCTTGCCAGCTAAACTCCTGTCGTTTCTGAAGTCTCTCTACCGTGGCTCCTAAGGCCGTGTAATGGTTTACGGAAAACACCTGAGTTCCCACAGCATGTGGGGTTTGCCGGGTTGTCCTATATCTTCTTTCCTCTTCAACTTTGTGATCGAAATGATGATAAATGACTCGGTTCTTTCAGACTCCCGGAGTAAAATTTCTGTCAGGCGACCGACTGGCAGACCTGGAGTATGCGAACGGGATAGTTCTCCTTGAGTCTGATGCACTGGCTATGCACACACTACTGAACGGAGTTGTGTGTAGCGCTGCACGCTTCGGCATGTACTTTGCACCTTCAAACTGCAAAGTGCTTTTACAGGACTGGGTCGATACACCGGTTTCAGCTATTTCCAAACAGCCACTGAACGTGGTGGACCGGTGCACTTACCTTGGTAGCTGTGTCACCTCTGGTGGTCACATTACTGAAGTGGTTACTTCGCGTATCTGCAAGACTCGTGTGGCTTTCCAGAGGCTCAACGATCCATGAAGATGGCGGGATATCAGCTTGTCAGTGAAAGGTTGGGTGTTTAACGCTGCGATAAGGTCAGTGTTGCTGTATGGATCAAAGACCTGGTGAGTTTGCAGTGAAGGCATTAAACACTTGACAGTTTTTAACCACCGGTGCTTGAGAAGTATTGCTCGCGTTTGGTGAGAGCATCGAGTGATCAATGTTGAAGTCCGCCAGTTGGTTTTTAGCAACATGCTTTCTAGTGCCTCATTCGTGTGTTTGATAAATCGTAGTCACTTGCATTGGCTAGGCCATGTCCTCCGTATGCCGGTTGATCGGCTTCTTCGGCGTGCATTGTACTCCGTGGTCGCGCCAAGTTGGGGAAAACTACGATGCTGACAGTCCATGACATGGCATAGAAGCTTGAAGAAATTAACTTAGTGACTTGTTCAGGCTGGTGCGTACCGTCTTCCTGGATGGGGCCTCGTGATGGTCCACACCAATGGTTAGAGACCGTGTCACACATGGTGCAGTCACGAAATCACTGGCGTTCCTGCATTCGGCTTCTCTCATCTGGATGTTACTTTTCGTTTCATTCTAATTAGTACAACGCGTTTCCTTCTTGCTTTCATTTTCTCTACATTCTATTTGTATCCAACGCCACTATCCTACCGGTGTTATTTATTGTTATTCTTGGGGTTTGAGTCGTGGCAACTGGATGCACTGCACTTCGGTGCTTGGATCTTAGTTGATGAACTGAAGTGAACTGAACATAGCTCTTCTTGGATCTGACGTAGTGACTGTGTAAACAGTACGGAGTTTCCTGACGCGTAGAGCTTCGGCAAGTGTTTTGCACCTTCAAACTGCGAAGTACTGTTTGCGGGACTGGACCGACACATCTCCGATTTTAGCTAACAGCAAACATCCACTGGAAGTGTTGGATCGGTTCACTTTTATTGGTAGCTGTCATCTCTGGTTACTTCACATATCAACATGGCACGTGCGGCTTTCCATACACGGTGGGATATCAGCCTGTCAGCGAAAGGTAGGGTGCATAACGCTGCGATAAGGCCGGCGTCACTGGTCAGTTCACAGTGAAGATATCAAACTCTTGGACCTGTTTGACCACTGGTGCTTGCGTGGTATTGCTCACGTTTGGTAGGAACACCGGGTGAGCAATGCGGAGGTCCGCCAGTTGGTTCTTGGCAATAAGTCTTCTGGTGCTTCACTCAAGTGTTTGTTAAAGCTCAACCGCTTATGTCGGCAGGCCATATCCTCCGTATGTCCGTTGATAGGCTTTCTCGGCGTGCATTGTACGCCGTGGCCGTGCCAAGTTGATGAAACTGCAGAATGGCCAGTCTATGACGTGGCATACAGGCATGAAGAAATTGACTGAGAGGCTTGTTCAGACTGGTGCATGCCGTCTTCGTGGCTGGGTGCCTTCGGATGGTCCACATCAGTTATTGGAGACCTTATCAGACATGACGCAGTCACTGTTGTTTGTATGCATCCGGTTTCTTACGTCTGGTTGTTAGTTTTCATCCCATCCTGATTAATTTAATGCACTTTTTTCTTGCTTCCATTTTCGTCACATTTTATTTGCACTTAATCGCATTATTTTGTCGTCGTTATTTATTGTTACTCCCGCGATGTGAGTCTTCTCAACTGGATCCTCTTCTGCGGTCGGATCGTAGTTGTTCAACTGGGATAAACTGATGACCGTTGTGTCTCTTGGCCACAATCACATAGACGCTTGACATCATCCTTCTGCTACACCCTTCTTAATAGAAGCTTCGACGTGTTTTTATAGACGTTATCCTATACCAATTCTTTGTTGTCCAACCAGTTTTCCAGATGACCGGTTTATTCAAATCTGAGAGCGGATGCTCAACTGTTCGAGGGCTTTTCTTGTTTCGTTTAACTCTCGTATTTTGTTTAACGCTCTGTGTATCACCATATTGTTTATTCCATCCACCTCTGTTTCTTCCCCATTGCATCAGGCCCTTGTGATGGTAGCTAAAACGCTCGTTTCATTAGTCAGTCCCCATGTTACTACCAAGGGAGTTCTTTCACCGGATCAGTTTTTGGCGTATCATCATCGACTTTTCCGTCACTTCCGGATTCCGATAACCGTAAGTACCGATCTCTGCATCATGTACTTTTAAACCGTAAACGTTTAACTGAATCCGACCGGTTTGTCTATATTTGGACCTTATTGGCACAAATCGTTGGTGTACCCGGTTCAGTGTAGTTTAGCCGTAATGTCGTAAAGCGCTACCCCACGACAGCACAGTTTCGTTTGAGTCAGGCGATTGAATCGACGGTTCCGATTGTATTTTTTCAAGGAAGCCTCCATTCGATCTGCTGCCTCCTACGCCAAACTGTTGATTCGAATTCTAGACGTCGGACACCTCAAACAGAACCTTTCTGTCAACGTGGACAGCTGGCAAGTATCCTTCGTCCACAATACAACGTTGCCATCAGTCTTGTATTTCTGTTGCTTCCTTTTTCCACGAATTCTCGTATTTATCAGTGAAAGACTGCAACTGGCTCCATAGGTCATGCTGCGTCATTTCTCAGACCCATAGCTGTCCGCGCAACTTATCGGATCGACCAACAAGCGACACTAAGTATTACTACACTGTCTTGAGGGTTGATGTCTGTTGAATCTCCGAGTCACGCGTACATGAAAACAGCGTCCTACTTCACTTGCACTCACCAGACCCGGGCTCTGATGTCGTCGGTTACGCATTTTGCGTTTCCGGCGATACCAGATGCACTTTTCGCGGTATTTACTGTTTTGAAGCGCTCTCCGTAGACATGCGGAGGCCCCTTCTCTTGAATATATCCGATTAACGATCGCATCTGTGTCTTTTGGCTTCGGAGATCCATCATAGTCAACAGGCAGCGGTCGAACAGAAGGTATCTTGTTTGTTTCAGCTTGCGCTCCTACCAGCTTTTACCTCGGATCCATCAAACATGGATTCCATAAGAAATTTTCCTCCCGGATGGCCAAAGGCACAATGGTTGCGGATGACATAAGTACTCAGATTCGGTTATCGTCAGACTAAAAATACGCTTTATAAACCCGGCTGGGAACATTTCAGCATTTAACACTAGCACTGCAGAGGCAATGTGGTCCTGAAATTGATCTAAACTCACAATCAAGTGGTAAAGAATGGTATGTATGTGCACGTCACTTAAGTAAACGTTCGCGCATGGTTTCGATAACTTTATTGCAGTCTGCAAGAAAACGGGGTCAATGCAGTGAGGCATCGTTATTTTAAGATGTGCGTAGACGCCTACGCGAGAGATTTTGTCAATTCATCGCGTAGGGAGTGAAATGGACCATTTATTATATACATATATATATGCCCAATAGTACAATTGACAGAGTGCCACAACGTATGGACAAATATACTGCGACCTTAATGTAGTAATAGGAAGGGCAAAAGAAAAAGTGTAAAACAGCAGTTATGGAGCTAGAGTCTCACAACTCATTCGCCATTGCACACGGTTTCTAGCCATGTGCGCACATGATCCTTGCACCCCCCAACCAGGGAGTCGAGAGTGCCCGACCGTGGCTAAATGTGAGGTCAGTGCCTTCATACCTTTGTCCAGGTCATTCACTGGTCACCTTGTCTTCGCTTCCAGCCGACTTCTGTTCGCGCAGAATGAACTACGAGGCAAAGTCATTAGGCATACGAAGCACGTGCCCAAGTTATTGCATTCATTAATTTGCTTAGTGAAGATAAAGTCAGTCAGAGACTCCGAGCAATCTAGTACACCTGGAGGTTAGCTTAATGGAATGCACAATCCTTGTGAAGTCTTTCCGTAGAAAACCAGGAAAAATGATATGTGAGCGGTCTAGTCAGTAGGTAAGAATACAGTTGGCTACTAATTCATAAATTATAATGCAGGGTACCGAAAACCTTCTAGGTCTCAGAGCATAAAGTCATAATTTTCTCACCTTGTGGAACGTTTCGTCAGCGTGTGTTGATGGTGATAGGTTATAAATATACAACAAGTTACCTAACGGTTGATGAAATAAGCGTGTTGTGGTCTCTTATCAACGCGTGTTTTTCAGTCAGGCGTTTTTCGATGCGGAGAGAAGAGAGTTACATCGCGATATTTAGAAGCGTAGGTAATAAGGGATCGAGACGACGACCGCTGCTGAAGCTCATCCAACCCGTGATAGAGAGGCGTTGATGACATTTGGAGCATGCTGCCTAGAACTACGTTGTCAGCGCACTTACATCCAATAAACTTGGAAGGAATTGGAAGCATTTGCTGTGTAAAGATAATAGAAGAGAGAGAGAGAATTGCTCCTTAAAAGGCGCCCCAGTCATCTCTAAGAGTGGGTTTTTTGCCGTTCAATTGGGTGAAATCGGAGCGATTTACGAAGTAGTTTCTCACCTGGTTGTACACTGCTGTTTGAACATTATTTGCAGACAGCTGATTAAGCAGGATTGACGTATCAAAACTTCCAGAAGTGTTGGAATAATCAAGGAAGAGAAGCCGCACAGTTTTGTATTTCGCACTCAATACAGATGCTATTGTGTGTACAAGATCTGCTGATTTGTCCAACGTGGAACGTCGCGGTTTGTAGTTTAATTGTGATTAAGCGTCTACCGGTGTGTTTGTTGTGATCTAAGGCGCATAAATTGGCGCTTTAAGACTCAGTATGACTATCGTACAAGTAATCGGACGGAATTTTAGGGCAACTCTCTTGGACACGGGAGTTATTTTGACAGACCTCCAGATGTCGCGAATAGTGATACCTTATAAGCAACGATTGATGAAAGAATTTCGGACTCAGTAGCCTAGTCTGGGTTCAATTTCTTGAGTTTACTGTAAACTTCAAGGTGTTGGAATGTAATTGTTGGACCAGACAGAGAATGAACGCGAGGAGAATGCTTCCTATGTGGGAGAACAGAATTCAGGCACAGAACCAAGCTGCCTACTTTAGCTTTTACTGTAAAACTGCTTTAAAAGCCTCCACAGGCCACGGCAGTCGTGCTCCATAAAACGGCTTCTATGTACCAATTGTTTAATGGTAATATCTGTTTTGATTACTTAAGTGAGTATTTTGCCACGGGCAGTCATTTTACATTAACAGGTCCGTTTTTTTCTTTCTAAATTGTTTAACTAATGGTATGGTGAATCTGTCTACTCTTAAGCAGAGGGTTCCAACAGGCAGCACAGAATGACGCATAAATTGAGAGGTAGTCAAAGAAATACTCTCCTTGAGCAGACGGATCTGCGTCGCTGCAAATTGCAAGGTCAGTAGAAGACAGCGTTGCCTGGAGTCTCGCGATCTTAATTGATGAACTACCTCGACGCCTTACAGTTTTGAAAGGCTTATTAGCCATTGAGCCGGAGTGAATTTTACCGTGAACAATGATCGCTTACCGAGTACGGCACGTTTTGCGTCTAAAACAACCGAGCATGGTTTGGAAAATGAAATCTAATGGCACTTCTGGTCGGAAAGTCCACTATGTTGGCTAAATCAAGTGCTTGAATGAATTAGGCATCATTTTTGTTGAAATCCCCGGCGATAATACAAACTAAACTGTCATGTTTTGACATAAACGCCTAGGATAGATCATCTGAAAGTCTTTTCACCTCTGAATCTAGTGCGTCGGATCCAATTACAACCAAAATAAAACCACTTAAAAACTTGGCTTACTCGAATGGCAGCTTATTGTAACTGTTGAGTAGGTAAAATATATGACGGACAAGTTACATTAGCGTTGCTGGACGTAGGTAATGATACTCTCTCCACGATTTTGTAGCACGATGGGGCGGTTGGATCTGATAGAAAGATAACCAGCAAGTTGTATAACTTCGTTTCCCACATCATAATGTAACCAGCTTTCTTGAAACATCACAATGACTGCATTTGAATATTCCTTTCGCTGCACAACGGCAGTAAGATCCATTATTTTCTTGCGGAGTGATCGAATGTTGCTGGATAGAATCGGTGGTATTTATATTGTCGACTGAAGTTCGTCTATGAACAACTTATCAGTCAACACGGTATTCTCTCAAACTTCCAGTCTGTTTTCTCATGATGTGTTTAAAAGTTTTTTCGACTTTTTGGGCATATGCAACGATAAGGGGATCTAGAGCGGTATAGTATCCCGAAGCGATTTCAAAAATTTGACGATACGACAGCATTGCAGTCAACAAAATAGCCTAGATATGCAAAATCGCAAAAATTTTCTTATCTTTATATATTCGCAGTAGCTAGTAAAAATGCTTTCTCAACGAGAAAAGCCGCAGCCAATTCGAATGCCCCGTGCAGAATTAGCGCATCTTCATGACAGGCGGAAAAGGTCCTAACTCCATTTTTGCTCTATTCTTTCATGATCGAAATGCTCGTGAATTGTTCTATCCGGCCTTCTAGGATAGAGGTTCTACCAGCTGATCGATTTTCAGCGCTAGAGTACGTGTTGGGGTCGGGTCCAGTTGCCGTCTAGGCGCTACTGCTACTGGGCTCTACACCCATGTGTCAACGACTTTCTTCATAATAGAACCATCGCTCAAAGTGATCGACCAGCTTAATTATTTTAATAGCTGTATCACCATTGGTAGTTCATACATAAGTCTGGAGATATGTATGCGAATAAGTTTATACACCGAATTTACACTGCCATTGCGCAGTTGCCAAGACTGAGGTTGACGATGCATATGATGTGATTTTCATCTTTTACCAAACTCACCTGACTGTGTGTAGGACGTGCGCTTAGCCCAGCCCTCACAAGTGTGATGTGGAATACCTGGCTGCGTTTGATGTGAATGTTGACAAGATGCCTACTTGTTGAAAAACCCCATCGATTATCCTGGATCCAGTAAACACTTGGTCGTTGGTGGGGGACGCGGGCTGCAGGGTTTTTGTGACCGTACTAGGCTCAACGGTGGTTTCCTCCAGCATAGAACGGGCTACGGTCCAGCAACCACCTTGTGTCTACCTGGTACACATGTATTCCTATTCAGGCACGAATGCTTCGGCTCTGCTTGTTGAAAGAGTGTGGGCCGGCTCCGTTGATGAAACGTGCCTCTCATCCACATGCCTCCCGGTCTCATTCCTTCGGGTTTTCACTCGATATGGGATGTGTGGATGGAGCTATGATTAGTGCAGCGCAAGCCATCCACGGTCTCTCTGTAAGCGCAGGCGTCTTGTGGTTCCCCACAGTGACAGGCGGATTAGGATACCGATGAATCTAACAATCACCCTTGGTGGTCACGTCACGGAAAGTTTACATCACGCATTATTAAAACTGGTGTGCTTATGGGCTTATTTGTCAAAGGAAGAGTTTACAACACTGGCGCTCTCTGCGTTGTCATGTTGGTCAGAGCCCTATCCGCTGCCCGCTGATGACAGCAGGAGAGACTGATCGTGTTTGGTGACTGGTTCCTGCACAGTGTTACCCGTATATGGTGATAGTACCGAGTGAGAAACGCCACAGTTCGTCATCTGGTACATGAAAATAAACCATCCGGTATCTCACTGGAGGACCCGTTGCACTCGAATTGTGGATGAGTGATGTATACTGCGTATAGGCGAGCCGGCTGCTTCAGAGTACATTGTGTCCCAATACTGTGTTCGGATGTATGAAACCCCCGGCAGCCGGTTACTGAGGTAACACCTTAACATGAACCACCTTGCTATGGTCCTCAGAACCAACCACCTAAGTGAGAGCGTCTGCAGTACGCCGATACGTCGTACTCTGGCTTAACTGCTACGCGGCCACCAGCGGTCGTATTCGCGACAATTATGTCACAAGGTCACTCGCACCCACGCAGTCCCAAACCGCCTGTCTGTCGATCAAGGTCCAAATGCCTGAACCACTCAGTCACTGTTTGAGCTACCACATGAATGACTTTTTGACTTGCAATCACAAAGCTAGTGGCGGTTTTGCAGTTATCCCCTTATTTTCGACTCCTAATTATTTTTCTGTGCATTTTCCTTCTTGTCATTTCCTCTTCAGCCATTAGTATTATTAGTGTTATTTTGTCTTATTGGGTCGGATCTAACGGATCCACCCCACCTCAGTGCACTGGGCTCGAGCTACAGCTAACAATCATTGCCTCAGTTAAATTCTATAGCATAAAACTGCCTGGTGTGGCATACATTCTATTTCGTTCAGAAAATGCCCGAACCACTAATTGCGAACTTGAATGATAAAACTAATGGTATTTTACCTTGTAAAATGCCTGATAAGTCACCTATGATGACTAGGGTTGAAATTGCAAGGTGAAAGATAGTTTTATTTGATTCATCGCAATTAGATTATAAACAACTAATATCAACCACCAATTCGGAAAAACACCGCGTGATCGTTTCACACTTTTGTGGTCCGTCAGTGGTGCGGATTTCCTCGGTCCCATGAAGGGGATCGAACTCATGGCCACTAGTATCTTGCACCACTAGCCAACAGCTTATGCAACTGAGCCATGAATGAAGATACCTGGTCCTCATGGATTGAAATTTAGTTGCAATATAGCCCGACCCATTCAATATTGCCGTGCAGGTTACTGCCCGTGTATAGGACAATGGTTTGCCGTCTGTATTTCATTCAGGATTTTCTATGGTAGTAGCCATAAATTCACACACCATTTCTGAGCACTAGTAGGGCTTACACCGGATGGCCAGTCACTGTCCTCTCACAGGAAATAAGCTGCATAGCGATATTATAGTGGGTCAGGCTATATCGTATTTAGATTTCAATCCATGATTGTCAGGTGTCGTCCCCCATAGCTCCGTTGTGTAAGCTGCTGGCTAGCGCTGCAAACAACTAGCGGCCATGAGTTCGATCCCCTTCAGGGGACCGAGGGAATCTGCACCATTGACGGACCCCAGCAAGACGAAACGATCGCCCGGCGCTTTTTCGAATTGATGGTTGACTCTCTTTTAAACCAGTCGCGATGAATCAAATAAACCATTGCTAAATGTTCCTACTCATATATCCTCGAAATATGGAATATTGGATCATGGGGAATTTAGAAGAGCAGTCGGATGCCTAATGTAAGCATTTCAAGAAGGAAATGCGATGTTTTATGATTACAAATCACGATGACATTGCAGAACGAATGTGGTAGGGATTTCAGCGTACTTGAAACGATGGCGGTTCTTCTCGCTGGAGCATGAACAGTATCATCAAGACCACACAGAATGTGTGTGTTTGTGTGTGTGTGTTTAGGAAGCAGAGGGCAATCGAACGCGTTTGAGCAGCATTCCCATGACTGAATTATGAGGTGATACCCAGTTAGGTACAATTGATTCGAATTAAGTGAACTCCATACGCGGAGGCATCAATATTTTTTGCAATGTCATGAGCGTGCTGCATGTCGAAATGTAACTTTCACCCTTATCCTGAGTTTGCGTGCAAGTAGGCTGGAATTTCATTGACCCCGGTGCATATCCGCTTGCTGTGTATTCGAACAACTCCACTTCATTCTTCAGAAGTTCCGCTTTGACTATCTTTTCAGAAATCACACTCATGATAGGCGTCGTACAAATCCGCAATGTCTTTTCCAATCTTCATTCAAGCTGGTTTTGCATAGGCATGCTGGGTTTAGCCCACGTTTTCATCAACTTTGGGGAACTAAGTGCGGCTGCGCTTACTTTAGCATCACTTGAATGACTCTTTCCCATTAGCCCTGCTCTAAGTGTAATGAAGATATAAACATTTCTCAAACTTGCATTGGAACGTGACGCGTGCTTTTCTAGACGTATGACATTGCTTTCAAGCAATGGGCTGACATTTGTGCACATGTTTCTCGTGCGTTTCTACCTTAATCGGCATTCACTGAACCCATTGCGGCGTTGCTTGTCATTTGTGTCGAGGGAAGTGTGTACCAAGCAGCCCCTACGTTAGGTCGATAGAAGTTTGAAATAGCCAATCGTCTGCCTGATCCCTTCAGGCGTCCGTGTGTTGAATGGTGTGTGAAAACCAACTCGCGATGCACTTTATACACTCAGGTTTTTCTGTTTGATCAGCAAACCGAGACTGGTATGTCTCTTGTTCCATTCAGTCAGTTTACGTTGATTTTCTTTACTGCTGAAACATTCAAAGTCTTCACGCGATCAATGCTTTTCCCTCACAGAATTGCACTCATGCACACTCTATGGGGCGACATTATCTAAACACTTTTGTACTCGCGCGCTGCACCAAAGTTCCGCTGCCGTTTGTTGCCTCATCTACATATCATTGAGCCTAGCTCTCTAGCTAAAATCCCAAAAATAGGTGGCCGGAACTGTCAGCTGTTTAAGTATCCAGCCCTATGTTATACTGTTACCTCGATAACAAAAAATACATACTGACCCACTCTCGATATCATCTCCGATTTTTTATCCGCATTCTGTATGTCATGTTTTCACTCTCATGGGAGGTCTTGCGCCCCTTTGCAGGAAACTGAAGCTCATCTTTACAAGCAACTCGTGATGTGATAATTTATTTACCAACCGGCAAGTTGCTGGGCCTAAAGTCCATTGGGAATCAGTTCAGTGCAGTTCATCTGACTAACTGTGAATCAGGCACCAACTCATGACGGATTCGCTTATTTTGACTGGCATCACCATCATAATTGTTCCTTACAATGCAAAAAAAGAATCCGTCCGTGACACGACCTCAATATACACCCATCACAGCGACAGAACCCAACCTGTGTCTCACTTTGCCATGCTTCCGATTGCCAGAAAGCTTCGACACCGACATGATTGTGGGCACTTGCAAGGTGACCATGTTCTCTGGCTCCGTTTAATTGTGAGCGACAGGGTGGACATCCAGAAGCAACTTGATGCTATTCACCAACGATGGACGACTGTCGTTAGTGCTCTACGCCAGCTGATTCCAGTTCGCATTCTTTTTGTAATGGTGACCCTCTGTACCTTGCACTGCAATGCTACCGGAAAGGCACAAACAACAGTAACCGGTTTAAAAGTCATATTCTTAGATCAAGCACGCTTCTCGATATGGGCGTTCTCTGTGTTCCAGCCACTTATGTCCTGGCTCTGAAGTTCGTATGTGTTCCACTTTATGACTGGCTACCACGGTGCACTAGGTTTAGTTATTCGCTCAATTGGCCAAGCATGGTCTTCTCATCATATCCCTTGCTTAGCGCACAATAAGGCCGTACATGTGCGCTCGTTCAGCGCGGCTCCCCATTCGTACTTTTTTCGATTGTTGCATGTTGAGGAAAGTGGACTATTTACTTTTTTCCCTTTTATCGGGACGCTGAAATCAGCTCTTGGCCATCGATGTTCGACTTCCGCCCCACTTGTTCGGCATTCATCAGTTGTTCTTTCTACGAATTTTCTTTGCTGTTGTTCCATGCATGCTCTACGCAGATTTATGCGTACATGATACATTTTCAATTGCAATTGCTATCAACCAGATTAATTAAGCACTCTTGACTGTTTTGCTCGTTTGTTTGTTCATCATATCAGGTTCCTCATGTGTCATGTAGAATCTTACCGTGAAGCAGGTTCCGGTCTAATGTTCTGTATCCTTCACTCAATCTTTAGGCTCCATTATCGGCGGAAGAAATTAAGCAACTCGAACAGCTATGCGAACGAGAAGCCTGTGTCGCCAGTCGCCGCTCTTTAAGTCGTGAATTGGCTCTGTTAGCCAATTATTTTCTCGAGGCCTTGGGCCCTCGAATTTCTCCAGAAACTTGCGAGGCCACTTCACAGTTGAACGCAGGTCAGTCAAATTTGGCTGGTCGGGAACACCGACTTTCTGGAGACTGTACCGTTCCTCCACGCGTCCCCAATCTTCTTAACGCCCTGTACGACTTGGAACACCGTACTCGTCACTTCTTGAAGCACCCCTCCAAAACTGAGTCAGCGCATCTCGTTCGAAGCTAAATCTTGCCCCTTGAGTTATTCATTGGGTGCTACTTGCCGCCTTCTCCCTCGTATTGTCGCCCCATGTCCTTTTCACCTTCGGGAAGTTTCATGATCAGATATTTGCTTACTTAACGCAATGCTTCGCTTATTGTCGCGCAGATGTTTACACTTTGGCCTCTTGGTTTCTTCTACCGGTCTGCACCCCAGACAATTACCATTCACAGTTACCCATTCCTGAGGATATTGAATCAATGTATTGTCCCTATTTATACGGTTCCGTCCCACGCCCACCAACCACACTGTCACCTTAAGGCGGCCTGCCGAGGCCTATTCCTCAAATCCTCAGAGTCCTTGACCACGACGCTGCACATGGCTTTTCGTCATGAGCTCATGTACAGTCTTTGTAATGAGTATGTTGCTCTCTCCGATGATCACCACAGGTGTATTTTTTGTGCATTTAGCATAGACATAAAGTGTAACTACTTGACTGTATGAATCATCCATTTCTTGCTGCTAGGATTGTCAGAATATCCTCTCTCTTTTTCACTTGTGATTTCCGGTTTCACAACATTCGTCGCCCATGGAAACCTTTCTATGTTGTTCTCTCCCCACTTCTCCACTTCGGATTCGGTCCTAGGGATCCGATTGACTGAGATCTACGGAGTAAACTGAGGTCCTAATGGAGATTACGTGTCATAATCCAACCGTACAGCAGGTGCTCCAAAGCCGTGCTCTGAATCTACCATCTCGCTTTCAAGTCTTGGCACCTAGGCTTTTCAATCCGAAAGTTCGCACTAACGGGACTGGTGCAGCATATACCATAGCCTCGCCCCGGTTATAGCATCAGTTGAAAATTTGTATCCGTATCTTCAGAAGTTGCGGTATTTCTCAGTATTGTGTTCCTAATGATATTTAAACATTTCGTCTAGGCAGAGAGAAGACAGGTTGCGATATGTCAACATTGTTCTCTTCAGTCGCAAACACAATACGAGCAGACTCACACAAGGGATTATATACCTGGAAAAAATAAGCACCAGCAATCAAAATGTCACAGTCAAGACCATGGCAACCGAATTGATTGCCTCAAGAGTTTCTGTGCACATAGCACAGGTTGATAGGCCTTAATTAACAACGCCTCACTAATTGCCAGCATTATCGGGTTGTTGTTACGTGCTAACGCTTTGAACGCTGTCTCGGGGTTCACGTGATGACGCGTTGCCATGAGGTGCTTGACGATAGACGATGCCGGGCTCCGATTGATTCTCAGATTCGTCCCATATTGTTGCAAAATCAATTGTCCCAACCTTTTTGGTAAATGTTCAGCTACCCTCTGAGCTAACTGACGGTTTGTTCTGCCTATGTAAATGTCACCGCAACCGCAGGTGAACTGATAAACAACGAGAGAGGCCGAACTACCCGACGAGATGCTCTGACGATTATGAAGAACAAGTGCTCGCGTGGTATGCCTGAATCGCAACTGGGCTGTCGTGTAGATGCGCGTCAAGGTGGACCGGAGCTTGCATCCGTTATCACTTGCCACATGGTCCCCCTTGAACAGCAACAACAAATAAACATTCTTTTTCTCAGCCGTCAGTACCGGTGTTTTCACGCTGGGAGGTCTGCTGTGTGCTTGAATAAACTTATCAGCATGTCCATTAGAAAGTAAGGTCTTACTTAGAAATTATTCTTCGGCTTGTAACGTTTCGGGGCTGCAAATACATATAGCCGGGTAGAAGAGAGTTTTCACTTAGCCGCGTTTGTATGCGATCGGGGCGAAGCTGGAAAATTGAAGATACTGTCCACTCCAACTCGATTTGCGGTGAACTGTGCGCTGCAACGTACCTACAGCCCGTCTCCTAATGAGTATATCCAAAAACGCCTGGCAGTTGTGTTGTTCCACTTCATGGGATACCGACAGTTTAGTGTAAGCAACAAAATTTGCTTGGAAGTTACGAGTGATGCGTTTCCACCGGGATCAAAGAAACATCAAATCCGGAACTGGATAATGGTACTATGTACATATGAATAAGTGAGCATATACAATAAATACCTTAACGATTATGCTTCCAAACTCAGGACAATCGTTTGGTTCCAGTCTACAAGTCCAGCTTCAGTGCGCGCTGTACGAAATCACATTACTAAGGTACACGACGTGTTTTTAAGACGGGTAAAGCGGTGAGATTGGCTGATCACCAGTTCAAAAAGGGTTGCTGATTTGGTAAACCTAAAGGGGCTGTGAATTTGGCCTGCGCGACTCATTCACCAACTGAGGCACAGATACACATAGAGAAAGGAGGAAATGGTCAGACAGGATCGTCCGGTGGGGACAAAGGTTCAGCGGACAGGTATAATCGGTGAAGGGTGAAGGTCATTAAACGACCCTAAGCGGTGCAGTGCTAACCGTTGACCATCGTAAATAAATTTAAACAAATGTGTAGAAGCAATTTAGGATCGTGGGAATGCGAGGTGATAACAATTTTAGGGAATGTAAGCCGGAACGAGGCGAATGTGAGGTTTCATGACGAAATGGGGAAGTATAGTCGTAATGTTTGGTAGGGGAAAGGAATTTGGAGGGGACTAGGGATCGCGGCGTCCGAATGTTCTCTACAATTAGGGTGAATCGAATTCAGGATGGTCAGCAGCCGGGTACAATGTTATGCGCTGGTGAAGAATAAAATGTCATCCACATATCCTCTGTACAGTTTCGCTTCACCAATGCTGGCAGCTACTTGCCGAAGATGTCGGCTAAAACTGGTCCCAAAGTGCTGCCCATAGCGACCCCGTCGACCTGTTTGTATGCGCTCCCCTCAAACCGTATGTTCTCGGTGCACAATAGAGTCATATCCTTTAAATACTCCACTGGCAAACTCACAGATATATTCTGGCTCAGGATAAATTCACATAAATTATTGACTGTCTCACGCAAAGGCACGTTTGTGAATAAGCAGACCATATCTTTTGAGTACATAAGCTCTGCACTCATTGACAATTGTTCCAGTTTCTCGGCCAGTTGAAAGTAGTCCTTCAGGCAATATGTAGCGAGGAGTTTACGCACTGGATCTAATAGTTTAGCCAGCCACCGCGCGACATTGTGATAAGGTGAATTGTTCATGCACATAATCGGACGTAGCGGGTATCCTTCTTTGTGTAACTTGGGAGCGCCTCTCATTCTAGGTGTTTGTGTTCCAGTCAGTTTTAAGTGCCTATACTGCGACTCATTAATGTAACCATGTAGCAAGAGGATCTGGAGCTTCCTTGCCACCTGCTTCTCCACCAGGATGTTGTTTTCCGGTGTATTATCGAGCTGGCACTTCCGCGTGTCTCCCAGAATGGACTCCATCTTCGAAAGGTAGTCAAGCCTGTTCATTACCACAATGCCTGATCCTTTATCCGGCGGCAGGAACATTACTTGCTCCATTTGTTCTAACTCCCTGATCGCCGTATAGTGTTCAGATTGCAGACAGCACCTCTGACTTATCGGCGTACACAGGAACTGGTTCGCAATCTCTATCCATTTTGCCCGAAACGAACCCGCATCTTCCGTCGATCTTGCCGAGAGGTCACTGAGCTGTTCATTCAGATACTCAAAATGGATTTGCGTGGTGACCTTGTCTAGCACTTTTCGCGGCAGTCGGTATTTCATTCCAAGCGACAAAAATTCCAATTGCATTCGCGTGAACTGAACAGAGGACAAATTGTATACGTGCTTCAAGCAATCAATAGGAAAGGAAACATTGGTGGTTTTAGCAAAAGAACCCTGCAAACTGCGCGCAGATTGCAGCTGATCACTACTGCGCATCAACTAGCATAACGCTTTCTTTTGTTTGCATCTAAGTGATCTGAAGAAACTTGCGTAAAGAGCAAAACTCAGCCGCAACTACAAACCGATTCGTATCCCAGACCTACCGAATTTATAATTTCGTCTCGTTTTTTACTTTTTCCGATATTTCCAACTCTTACCTCCTTATTTTTGCAATATTTACTTGGTAACATGATCACTAGGCTCCATTTACCTTCGGCTATACACTTCCGCTGCCCTGTTGCATCTCACGAAAGAGCTTTTACCTTATCCTTGTAGGAAGCTATCTCTATTTTTATCTGGCACCCCACATATATCTCTATACCGCAGTGGTAGTCTGCTTCTCATGGCCCATACGTCCTAGTTCAAGTTCAAGTTCGGTTGGGAGTAGAACAATAGGAGAATTTCATGAGTGTTCCATCTTGAGTGGATCGTTAAGCCAGGAATTGATGAAGTGCTCAGTTATTGATGGATCTAAAACGGAACATCCGTATCGCACCCTGGCCAACCAGTTAATGCCCACGTTTCCTGCCCTAGCAGTCCCTGTTGTGGCAGTCAAGTGAAGTAAGCAAAGGATAGGAAGATAAACCGAAGGTACAAGATAAGAAACTGCAGTTGAAATAAGAAAATACCAATTCGTAAAGAAAAGTAGAGAAAAGAAAAACGAGGTGTGAAGATGCGAGTTGGTCGGGAAAAAGGAAAGGTTTTGTTTTGCCACCCAAGAGCGTCAAGTTGCCGCTCAAACCCCTTAACTGGAGATTCCCTGATAACATATTTCCGAAGCATGTTCCAGTGCTCGATGACTTGGCTTGACAGCCGGATTTCTGCCCTTATCCGATCGGACCGCGGTTTGTCCAGCTTCAAGGAATCACCTCGTAGAACAGACAATTTAGCAGGACTGAATAGCCAAGGTAAATCTGGACCAACCTTCCCAGTTAAGATACGGTAGGTTAGCGTTGGGTCTCCTCTAAGCCTTCGGTAGTGTGTTGAATGTATTCCCAAACTAAGTAGACGCTCGGGGTACGTCCGTCCCCGTACTCCCTCAACTAACCTAGTACCCACCCGTAAAACCCTCTCTAGCTCCATTTTGTCCCGGACGAGGCAGGGCGGACAAGCCTGGACGCAGTGTTCCAGATGAAGCCGAACGAAAGCCGAGAACAGTCTCGTAAAGATGCCGCCCTTCAAGACTCCGAAAGAACGTCGTATTAACCACAACATGCGGAAACCTCTGCTTGCGGCCTTCTTCCAGTTGTCGTCGGAGGGTAAAGCCGAAGATTGTACGACGCCTAGGTCAATCTGGCTGGATACACGTGGGAGTTCGACCCCACCGACTATGTACTTCGCAGCAGGACAACCTCCTCCAATTCGAAGAACGGAGCACTTTGCCTGATTTATGGGTAATAACCATAAAGTAGACCAGTCCCAAAGCTTATCCAATGCTCGCTGAATAGCTTCGGAACCCCCAGGAACATCGACAGTGTTCCACAGCTTCAGCTCATCAGCAAATAGCAGCGATAGTGCCTCAAGCTCCGCGGGTAGGTCATTCGCATAAACGGAGAACAGCAGCAGTCCAAGGACCGAGCCCTGCGGCACGCCACCGAAGACAGACTGCCTAAACGATAGGCCACGGCCTACCCGTACACACTGTTCTCTACCATGCAAGAAGTCAGTAACCCAATGAAGGGCACGGCCAGATACCCCGTAGGAGGTCAGCTTCTGCGCGAGCCTCAAATGGGGTACCTTGTCAAATGCCTTCGAAAAGCACGTCCAGTGCGTGGCCGTTAT